ATGTAGGGTTGTGGGGATGATATGTGGAGGTGTGGGGGATGATATGTGGGGTGGGGGATGATATGTGGAGGTGTAGGGGATGATATGTGGGGGTGTGGGGGATGATATGTGGAGGTGTGGGGATGATATGTGGGGAGTGTGGGGATGATATGTGGGTGTGGGGGATGATATGTGGGGGGGTGTGGGGGATGATATGTGGGGTGTGGGGGATGATATGTAGGGGGGTGTGGGGGATGATATGTGGGGTATTAGGGGGGGGATGATATGTGGGAGGTGGGGGATGATATGTGGAGATGGGGGAATGATATGTGGAGGTGTGGGGTGATATGCATGGGTGTGGGGGGATGATATGTGGAGGTGGGGGATGATATGTGGGGTGTGGGGAGGATATGTGGGGGTGTGGTGGATGATATGTAGAGCTGTGGGGGATGATATGTTGGGGTGTGGGGGATGATATGTGGGTGGGGATGATATGTGGAGGTGTGGGGGATGATATGTGGGGTGTGGGGAGGATATGTGGGGTGTGGTGGATGATATGTTGGTGTGGGGGGGATGCTGCAAAGAGATGAGGGAGGTGCTGTATATATCTGCATGCTGTACATTGTTCTCTTAACCACTCCTGTAAAACACATATAGTATCTGGTAGCACTAGTAAACTGTAACATCCACTTGTGTTGTGTGTTCTCTACCACCATTATCATGATGAGTCTGGAGTGTCAGCTGTGGTGGCCGAATCGGTTAACAGCAGTGGACTGCTGCAGTCATTCTACTAAGACAGCTATCCAAGGTACTTGTTAGATTTAGAACATTATAACCACAGACTTCCAACAGAAATGGGTAGACGACAAATGTCCCCGATAAACAAAGGATTTGTTCATTATGTAACACACATGACTCACAGATGAGTGTTACCATGGTCAAATCTGTCATAATTTCATTTTAAATGGAAGAAATATGCACACTTTAACAACCGGTACTTTGATATATCTCATGTCATTCAATCATACTGACTGAGTTTGGTTTTACGCCGCTTTTAGCAATATTCCAGCAACATCACGGCGGGGGACACCAGAAAAGGGCTTCATACATTGTACCCATGTGGGGATTCGAACCCGGGTCTTCGGCGTGATGAGCCAACGCTTTAACCACTAGGCTACCCCACCACCCCCAATTCAATCATAAGCCTTAATGAATACATATAACCTAATGGAACAATGTCATGTAGCAGGAATTCTCAGTGATGTCTAGAACATAGTATTAGTAAGTATGTGTACACAATGAGTATGTGTACACAGTAAGTATGGTAATGTTAAGATAACATGACATAAACTGAGGGATTGGTCAGCTGCTTCAGTGACTTTCCACTGTACCCTTGGTTTACACTTTACACATGCTTTATTTCATTACTGAATATCTGTATCAGTCTCATCTGTTTGGTATGTATTGAATACTCCTATCTGAACCATGTTGTATCTTTAAACATTGAGATATCATCTACAATCCACAAGAATAATGCTGTTTTCAGGGACTTTCCTGGCATTTCTGTAACCTGTTATTGTGACCTCAGAATCTCAGCATCATGACTGTTAGTACAGATCAACATGTACAGGAAACTGGCTGAGAGTATGTTAGTATCTCCATCTTTACCATCTACTGGTGGTAAATGTAATGTCCTAGTCACATGTTAACAGACACCACACTGAATGTTAATCATAAATCTGTTGGGTGGAATTAAGAACACATTCTCACACAACCAGTATCCAAAGGCATTTTGTTCCATCATTTATACCATTTAAGACATTTATGACTGATATGGTTTACTGAAGATGTAAATAATGAAAGTAATGCAAGTGTTGATCCCCAACCTGAAACGTTTCCCATATTAACACTGAGCCTAAGATGGATCACCAAACACAACATAATTATTCAGAGATACAGGGGCAAAATACATTGGCATTTCTCACAAACTACCCCAAGCTATCACACTTCTTTGAAATAAAATTAAAGCAAGCACAGACCCATTATCATTCTTTACAAGATGAAGGTCAAGGCTGTTCTAATGAGACAGGTCAGGTTATCCAATCAAGGAAGTTCTAATGAGACAGGTCAGGTTATCCAATCAAGGAAGTTCTAATGAGACAGGTCAGGTTATCTAATCAAGGAAGTTCTAATGAGATGGCCAGGTTATCCAATCAAGGAAGTTTGAATGAGACAGGTCAGGTTATCCAATCAAGGAAGTTCTAATGAGACAGGCCAGGTTATCCAATCAAGGAAGTTTTAATGAGACAGGTCAGGTTATCCAATCAAGGAAGTTTTAATGAGTCAGGTCAGGTTATCCAATCAAGGATGTTCTAATGAGACAGGTCAGGTTATCCAATCAAGGAAGTTCTAATGAGACAGGTCAGGTTATCCAATCAAGGAAGTTCTAATGAGACAGGTCAGGTTATCCAATCAAGGATGTTCTAATGAGATGGCCAGGTTATCCAATCAAGGAAGTTCTAATGAGACAGGTCAGGTTATCCAATCAAGGAAGTTCTAATGAGACAGGCCAGGTTATCCAATCAAGGAGGAAGTTCTAATGAGACAGGTCAGGTTATCCAATCAAGGCTGTTCTAATGAGATGGCCAGGTTATCCAATCAAGGAAGTTCTAATGAGACAGGTCAGGTTATCCAATCAAGGAAGTTCTAATGAGACAGGTCAGGTTATCCAATCAAGGAAGTTCTAATGAGACAGGTCAGGTTATCCAATCAGGGAAGTTCTAATGAGATGGCCAGGTTATCCAATCAAGGAAGTTCTAATGAGACAGGTCAGGTTATCCAAACAAGGCTGTTCTAATGAGACAGGTCAGGTTATCCAATCAAGGAAGTTCTAATGAGACAGGTCAGGTTATCCAATCAAGGAAGTTCTAATGAGACAGGTCAGGTTATCCAATCAAGGAAGTTCTAATGAGACAGGCCAGGTTATCCAATCAAGGAAGTTCTAATGAGACAGGTCAGGTTATCCAATCAAGGAAGTTCTAATGAGACAGGTCAGGTTATCTAATCAAGGAAGTTCTAATGAGACAGGTCAGGTTATCCAATCAAGGCTGTTCTAATGAGATGGCCAGGTTATCCAATCAAGGAGGAAGTTCTAATGAGACAGGTCAGGTTATCCAATCAAGGCTGTTCTAATGAGATGGCCAGGTTATCCAATCAAGGAAGTTCTAATGAGACAGGTCAGGTTATCCAATCAAGGAAGTTCTAATGGCCAGGTTATGGAGGAAGTTCTAATGAGACAGGTCAGGTTATCCAATCAAGGAAGTTCTAATGAGACAGGCCAGGTTATCCAATCAAGGAAGTTTTAATGAGACAGGTCAGGTTATCCAATCAAGGAAGTCCTAATGAGACAGGTCAGGTTATCCAATCAAGGATGTTCTAATGAGACAGGTCAGGTTATCCAATCAAGGAATTTCTAATGAGACAGGTCAGGTTATCCAATCAGGGAAGTTCTAATGAGACAGGTCAGGTTATCCAATCAAGGAAGTTCTAATGAGACAGGTCAGGTTATCCAATCAAGGATGTTCTAATGAGACAGGTCAGGTTATCCAATCAAGGAAGTTCTACTGAGACAGGTCAGGTTATCCCTCAGAGTGAGTGAGTGAGTATGGTTTTACGCCGCTTTTAGCAATGTTCCAGCAATATCACGGTGGGGGACACCAGAAATGGGCTTCACACAGTGTGCCCATGTGGGGAATCGAACTTGGGTCTTCTACATGACGTGCGAACGCTTTAACCACTAGGCTACCCCACCACCCCTCACCATCAGAACAAAGCAAGCAATATCGTATCGTCAAGAAGCAACAGTTCCAGTACAACACAGATATTTTCCCTATGAGGATGAGCCTTAAAACATATTCTAAGATGCTTAGCGCTTAGAACAATCAAAAAAAATAATACATTATCAGACAATAAAGGTATAGTTTTTTGATGACGTAACAATTGAATGACGCTATCCCGTCACTGCGCCATTCTAGTGTGCCCCCTCGGAATCGAACCATTTTACATTACGTCACAGTGTAAGCGACGTCACGATGGATGTCAGTTGTCATCGCCTCGTACAGCCTCCTACAGTAAACTACTGCGTTGCATCCCGTTTCTTGGTTTGCAGTTGCTTCACTCACCTAACATCACTGGTGGAAACATTACGTTTATTTTTTCTGACATTTAAAAAGGCTCTCTTCGACTCGCAAGTTTTCAGCAACACGGTAACGTTCGCAATGTTTACATTCCCACAATGCAATCGTGGAATGTCGCTAGACTACTCAGCTTCGTCTGGATGTACTGATCTAAACATACGTTGGCAGTAGAAATACGACGTTCACATGGTTTACGTTAATGACAGATGTAATTAAAATACTTTAGAGAAGATATTTAATCATAACGTAAACCGTCATGAAACTGTTTATCATTTGTTTTTCTGGTAACGTTCGTCTTAACGTAGGGGGACAGACACATCAATAGAACAGCCAGATAGCCCTGTCGCGAGGATTCTTAATTTAGGTCACCGACACCGCCGTTTGTTTTCTGCCTTAGATTAATCGTAATTATCCTCAGAAAGTATTAAATTTGGCATCTTAGAAAATAAGCCGCGAGTTCGCTCTACCACCATAGTATAGTGTAATAAAACACACTTTTCTCCCTGAACTATTATGACGTTAAAAGCACTGGGACGCAAGCCGTCCTCGTGCTTTAACTATAATAGTTCAGGGCAAAAGTGTGTTTTATTACACTATACATGGTGGTAGAGCGAACTGTATTTCTTAAACGTAGCAGGGCGTGGAGTCATCCCACAGATGACATCCTTACCTTGTCAGCTTGCTGACGGGGTTAACCTCTTTGGTCATGTGGACAAAGCGTCCAAGTTTGGAGCAGAAGGGTCCGTGGTTCGAATCCCAGCACGGGATTCGGAAATTTTATGGCTGCTACAATAACATAACATGGCAACTGGGGCTATAACTCACCAAGTCCGGGAGGCCGTCCTGACACGCCTTGATAATAGAGTCCATGTCCTTGTTGGACAAATGTTTCTGAAAGAAAGGCAGACAAAGATGCTGACTAGTGTACAGGATCAGACAGTTCAGTGTTCTAGAAGACAGCCATCACTGAGCCTGTTGTTGAAAGCAGGAACAACTCACTGGAACTGGATCTCATCTGGAAAACAATACACAGCATAAAACCTGTCGTGCAGCATCATGGAGCCTCATGCCATGTCAAGTGACTAATCTCCCAGCTAAATTGTTGTGAGTTGTCCCAAAAATGTTGCAAAAAAGTCATTCTGCCTCAGCCTTTATAAAAACATACATGATAACATGATAATATACCAAGAAATCTGCATTACCACTATCCCCTACCATAGAGCCAAGAAGAATAGTGTTTGCTCATGCAGTCATGATTAATATCAAATTCATCGAAGTAACAGTTAACTATGAAAACGTCACATAAACACTTAAGAAGAGATCACTGTGTGAAATAGTTTCCAAATTTTGCTAGCCAGTCAGGCTAGCTATGCCTGAAAGTTACTAGCCCACAAAATAATGCACTTGCCCGAAATTTGAATGTAGAAACTAAGCAATAGATTACAAAAATAGATGAAAATAAGATATTGTCGGCATGGCAAGGGCTTCATCATTAAGCTGCTAATATGATAAACATTTTATCAGGCCATAATGTTGCATGATTTAAAGTGCATTATAACTTAACAAGATTACACAATGCCATTTTAGAAAGTGGTCAAATGTAACATATGCTATATTTGGGATTACACTTTCTTAGTAAAGTACAAATTCTAGTACTATCCAGGCATCCAGGCACTTAATACACTGAATTAATACACTGAATACAGAAATAGAAGATAATACACTGTGTGGAACAGACATAATACACTGAATACATTAATAGAAGATAATGTGGAACAGGGCACTTAATACACTGAATACAGTAATAGAAGATAATGTGGAGCAGGGCACATAATACACTGAATACATAAATAGAAGATAATGTGGAACAGGGCACATAATACACTGAATACATTAATAGAAGATAATGTGGAACAGGGCACATAATACACTGAATACAGATAATTAATACACTGAATACAGTAATAGAAGAACATGGAGCAGGGCACATAATACACTGAATACAGTAATAGAAGATAATGTGGAGCAGGGCATATAATACACAGTAATGAATAGATAAATATGAAGATAATGTGAATACAGTAATAGAAGATAACATGGAGCAGGGCACATAATACACTGAATACAGTAATAGAAGATAATGTGGAGCAGGGCACATAATACACTGAATACAGTAATAGAAGATAATGTGGAGCAGGGCACATAATACACCTAATACAGAAATAGAAGATAATGTGGAACAGGGCACATAATGCACTGAATACAGAAATAGAAGATAATGTGGAGCAGGGCACATAATACACTGAATACATTAATAGAAGATAATGTGGAACAGGGCACATAATACACTGAATACAGAAATAGAAGATAATGTGGAGCAGGGCACATAATACACTGAATACATTAATAGAAGATAATGTGGAACAGGGCACATAATACACTGAATACATTAATAGAAGATAATGTGGAACAGGGCACTACACTAATACACTGAATACAGTAATAGAAGATAACATGGAGCAGGGCACATAATACACTGAATACAGAAATAGAAGATAATGTGGAGCAGGGCACTTAATACACTGAATACAGAAATAGAAGATAATGTGGAGCAGGGCACATAATACACTGAATACAGTAATAGAAGATAATGTGGAGCAGGGCACATAATGCACTGAATACAGTAATAGAAGATAAATGTGGAACAGGGCACATAATGCACTGAATACAGAAATAGAAGATAATGGAGCAGGGGCACATAATACACTGAATACAGTAATAGAAGATAATGTGGAGATAATACACTGGAATAGAAGATGACAGGAGCACACATAATACACTGAATACAGTAATAGAAGATAACGCAGGGCACATAATACACTGAATACATTAATAGAAGATAATGTGGAACAGGGCACATAATACACTGAATACAGAAATAGAAGATAATGTGGAGCAGGGCACATAATACACTGAATACATTAATAGAAGATAATGTGGAACAGGGCACATAATACACTGAATACAGTAATAGAAGATAATATGGAACAGGGCACATAATACACTGAATACAGTAATAGAAGATAATGTGGAGCAGGGCACTTAATACACTGAATACAGTAATAGAAGATAACATGGAGCAGGGCACATAATACACTGAATACAGAAATAGAAGATAATGTGGAGCAGGGCACATAATACACTGAATACATAAATAGAAGATAATGTGGAGCAGGGCACATAATACACTGAATACAGTAATAGAAGATAATGTGGAACAGGGCACATAATGCACTGAATACAGTAATAGAAGATAATGTGGAACAGGGCACACACTAATACACTGGAAGGGCACTAATGCACTGAATACAGTAATAGAAGATAATGTGGAGCAGGGCACATAATACACTGAATACATTAATAGAAGATAATGTGGAAGATAACAGGGCAACATAATACACTGAATACAGTAATAGAAGATAATGTGGAGCAGGGCACATAATACACTGAATACAGTAATAGAAGATAATGTGGAACAGGGCACATAATACACTGAATACAGTAATAGAAGATAATGTGGAGCAGGGCACTTAATACACTGAATACAGTAATAGAAGATAACATGGAGCAGGGCACATAATACACTGAATACAGAAATAGAAGATAATGTGGAGCAGGGCACTTAATACACTGAATACAGAATACAGAAATAGAAGATAATGTGAGATAGCAGGGCAAGATAATACACAGGGATAACACTTAATACACTGAATACAGTAATAGAAGATAATGTGGAGCAGGGCACACACTGAATACAGTAATAGAAGATAATGTGGAATACACTGAATACAGTAATAGAAGATAATGTGGAGCAGGGCACATAATACACTGAATACAGTAATAGAAGATAACATGGAGCAGGGCACATAATACACTGAATACAGTAATAGAAGATAATGTGGAGCAGGGCACATAATACACTGAATACAGAAATAGAAGATAATGTGGAACAGGGCACATAATGCACTGAATACAGAAATAGAAGATAATGTGGAGCAGGGCACTTAATACACTGAATACAGAAATAGAAGAGTATGTACAAGTGAATGCACTTACTTTGCCCTGGGGGATACGGATGGCTTGTACAGAAGCAGTGGGGGACTGCAGCCTTGCAGCGATGACAGGGACGTCACAGGTTTGCATCATGTCTGTGATGTCACACAGCTGCCAGACAAACAACTGAGTTAGTCAGGACAACAAACAGGAGGCCAACTCAGGAGACAGCTGACCTCTTGTGACGCTTGCTACCCTAACAGAAGTACTTCCAGTTTAATGACATCACTTCACATAGAACACATAGAACAGAAGCCGCATTGTTTGTACCTGTAAAGCTTTGTAGCTTGTTTGTTTGATTAGAGCCAGACTGAGCGCCTAGTAGGCAGCACGTTACCTGAGCTATCACAATTTTTCTTGAATTAAGTTGCATCTCTTCAAGAAATATCTGTGAACGCCAACTTTCCTGTACATATAACCTGTATATATGTTATGCACTTAGAGCATGTCTCTGAGTGATGTGGATGAGGCGCTATAAAAGTACTCTTATTATTATTATTATGTTTGTAGCTGTAAAGCTTATACTGTACTGTACTAGTATATACCAATCTGGTACATTTGAACTTGAACAACACAGCTCCAGCATTTGTTTTCAGTCATGTACAGAAACACCGGCCATTACATCTCCTCAGGTGATCTGATCCAGGGGTGGAAATAACCCATTGCCCGACACCCGAGTCCATTGGTTTTTTCTGTCGGGCAAGCAAATTTGTATATTACACTGTACCGGTGTCCAGTTGACTTTCCAATATTAATTATGTTGTTTATTTAAAAAATCAACAAGAAAACGGCCGGTATAGTGGAAAAATTATCAGGGCAAGTGATTTTACATGTGCCACAGTACCGGAGTACACTAGCAATTTCAAAGTTATTTCCACCCCTGTGATCAGCTCATGGCCAGGGTTGTACTCTCATGTACTGACATATTTGGCATTTGACTGTCCCTTTGGAACAAACACCCACTAACAGTAAGACAAGCGATTGAACTCAGTACTTTCAGATCCAGAATAAAATACATCTTCAATGAAGCAATCAACATCTTCACTTAAGTATCTCTCTATAACCTTCACAAGGACAAAACAAATATTTGGGGAGTCATGAAACACTGTGCATTCATCATCATTACAGATTAATATGTGAACTAAGAACTTGCCTCCATAGCAAACCTTGTATCTGGCTTGTCTGTGCCAAACCTCTGTCTAGCCTGGTGGTAGGACATGCGTGGGAAGGGGGTGCTGATGTGCCCTTCCAACGGCCACGAGTGCTGGAGGAGATCCTCGATCAACCTCATCACAGACGGCTGGTCAGTGAAGGACATCTCAATGTCCACCTGTAATGTACATTTATGTAGAAATGAGCTTTTAAATGTGGCACACAAAATCCCATCAGAGTAGCCTTTCAAATGTACGTGGGCTCACAGAAAGAACACTGTTGATTCACAATGAACTAGATGAAAGGCATTTATCTGAAAACATGAGTGGCTGACTTTCACTGGCTTTCAGCTAGCAGGAGTTTCCAACCCTGCATTAAATACTTAATGTCAGACACCAACATGGTGTGAGATGATTAACACTGTGAAACTTGCATATAGGGGTAGAAGGTGATGAAGGCTGACACATATGGTAAGGAGGTGAGAAGCACATGCAGACATCAGTAGGAACACATGGAGACAGCCTCCGTGGTGTTGTGGTTAGAGCGTCCGTCTTGAAAAAGACGTTATAATATGGTACTTGTTGGTCCCTGCCTGGCGCTCGGCATTAAGGGGTACAACAAGGACTGGTCGGCTCGGAGTCAGTATAATGTGTCTGAGTGGGGTATTCATGCTTCACTGCGGCATGGTATCTCAGTGGGCTAGCACTATAAAACCAGCTTCAGTCTGGGCTAGTACAAGCAGCCGCACAAACACATACACACGCATGCATGTCGTCATATGAGCGAAATATTCTCAAGCACGACGTTAAACCCAATTCCACCACCACCACCAGGAACACATGGAATGGGGGGTGACAAGGGACATGACTCTGGACTGACCTGTGTGAATTCTGGCTGTCGATCAGGTTTAGATCCCTCGTCTCGGTAACACTTGGCAATCTGGAAGTAGCGATCGATGCCACCTACCATCAGCAGCTGCTTGAACTGAGGAAAAACACACACCATTGTGACATTAAACACAAGAAAGTTTAAAAGTGTGAACATACATGGCTTAAACTCTAAAGTACATTGTTTCTTTTCTGACAAAAGCTGACTTTACTTCAATGATGGAAACAATGTGTTATGATGTTTCCAAGCTATATGGTTCTAATGCTATTTTTGATGGCCATGATATCTCCAGCCATCCACCCATCCATCCATCCATCCATTGTAATAAAAAACATTCCATGGTTACCTGTTGAGGACTTTGAGGCAAGGAGTAAAACTTGCCAGGAAATCGACTGGGAACGATGAATTCTTGGGCACCCTGAAAGTGGAACACCAAGACGGGTAAGCAGGTAAGAGAGTCAAATACCATCCTCTCATTAGGGCTTGTGTTTCAGAAATCCTACACTAACCCCCTGATCCATTTCCATGGTTCTCACAATGCCTAATGAACTGCTCTCTTTTAGCCAATTTGATTTGATACGATAGTTATTCTGAAAGACCAATGAACTGTCAGTTACAAATCAGGCTCAATATTGTGTTGGTGAAAACCACAACTTGGCGTTGTCAGACATGACAATAACTGAAACCTAATAAATAAGCTAACAGTCATAAATGCATAAACTCCTCTTCCACAAGCTTCCAAGTGAGCTGCACATTATCATCCTTCAAGTCCACACAGACTGATAGTCTTTCTTAAACTGAAGTCAAAGGACTGATTATCAATATATATGTCTCTCAAAGAAGGAAATATATTCTGATATTGGGTCAGGAAGCAGTCATGATAATGACTGAAAACTAATAAATAAGCTAACAGCCATAAATACATTCGCTCCTCTTCCACAAGCTTCCAAGTGAGCTCCACATTGTCATCCTTCAAGTTCACACTGATAGTCTTTGTTAAACTGAAGCCAAAGGACTCATGGGGCGGTGGGGTAGCCCAGTGGTTAAAACGTAAGCTTGTCATACCAAAAACCCGGGTTCAATTCAACACATGGGTACAATGTGTGAAGCCCATTTCATGATATTACTGGGATATTGACATACCCACTCACTCACTCAAAGGACTGATATCTGAAGGGTCTAATCCAGGTTGTACCACTGTCACATGGGTAGAGATGTAAACACTGATGAATGTGTGTTCTGCACTTACATTGACACAGGTGTATAGATAGCACTCACTCACCCCTGGGGTCCTCCGAAACAGCGTAGGTGTCTCAACATCAACAAACCCTGAAACAGTCACCAAGTCAATATTCAAATCTCACATCTTCATCAAGTGGGATCACTATCCTAGTCTTACCAGACTGGTTACATAGGTGCTCCCTTATCTTACAGTCTTACATACCATGCTGGTTACATAGGAGCTCCCTTATCTTACAGTCTTACATACCATGCTGGTTACATAGGTGCTCCCTTATCTTACAGTCTTACATACCATGCTGGTTACATAGGAACTCCCTTATCTTACAGTCTTACATACCATGTTGGTTACATAGGAGCTCCCTTATCTTACAGTCTTACATACCATGTTGGTTACATAGGAGCTCCCTTATCTTACAGTCTTACATACCAGACTGGTTACATAGGTGCTCCCTTATCTTACAGTCTTACATACCATGCTGGTTATATAGGAGCTCCCTTATCTTTACAGTCTTACATACCATGCTGGTTACATAGGAGCTTACATACCATGCTGGTTTATCTTACAGTCTTACATACCATGCTGGTTAATATAGGTGCTCCCTTTATCTTAAAGGGTTACATAGGAACTCAAATCCACACATCTCCCTTTACAAACCATGCTGGTTACATAGGAGCTCCCTTATCTTACAGTCTTACATACCATGATGGTTACATAGGAGCTCCCTTATCTTACAGTCTTACATACCATGCTGGTTACATAGGAGCTCCCTCATCTTACAGTCTTACATACCATGATGGTTACATAGGAACTCCCTTATCTTACAGTCTTACATACCATGATGGTTACATAGGAACTCCCTTATCTTACAGTCTTACATACCATGTTGGTTACATAGGAGCTCCCTCATCTTACAGTCTTACATACCATGATGGTTACATAGGAGCTCCCTTATCTTACAGTCTTACATACCATGCTGGTTACATAGGAGCTCCCTTATCTTACAGTCTTACATACCATGATGGTTACATAGGAACTCCCTTATCTTACAGTCTTACATACCATGCTGGTTACATAGGAACTCCCTTATCTTACAGTCTTACATACCATGCTGGTTACATAGGAACTCCCTTATCTTACAGTCTTACATACCATGCTGGTTACATAGGAACTCCCATATCTTACAGTCTTACATACCATGCTGGTTACATAGGAGCTCCCTTATCTTACAGTCTTACATACCATGATGGTTACATAGGAACTCCCTTATCTTACAGTCTTACATACCATGATGGTTACATAGGAACTCCCTTATCTTACAGTCTTACATACCATGATGGTTACATAGGAACTCCCTTATCTTACAGTCTTACATACCATGCTGGTTACATAGGAACTCCCTTATCTTACAGTCTTACATACCATGATGGTTACATAGGAACTCCCTTATCTTACAGTCTTACATACCATGACTGGTTACATAGGAACTCCCTTATCTTACAGTCTTACATACCATGATGGTTACATAGGAACTCCCTTATCTTACAGTCTTACATACCATGATGGTTACATAGGAACTCCCTTTATCTTATCTTACAGTCTTACATACCATGATGGTTACATAGGAGCTCCCTTATCTTACAGTCTTACATACCATGCTGGTTACATAGGAACTCCCTTATCTTACAGTCTTACATACCATGATGGTTACATAGGAACTCCCTTATCTTACAGTCTTACATACCATGCTGGTTACACATGAACTCCCTCATTTTCATGATCATGGCTGAACGGAGTCTCAGGTTGCGCTGCATGGTCGGACGTCTAATGTCGAGGTACCTGTACCTCATGCTCAATGCTTCGCTGACCTAGGGAAACACATACATAGAACACCTCTGAACAGATATATCCATAGAACACTTCTAAACATATGTATCCTCCGAACACCTCTGAACAGATGTATCCACAGAACACCTCTAAACAGATGTATCAAAGAACACCTCTGAACAGATGTATCCATAGAACACCTCTGAACAGATGTATCCACAGAACACCTCTGAACAGATATATCCATAGAACACCTCTAAACAGATGTATCCACAGAACACCTCTGAACAGATGTATCCATAGAACACCTCTAAACAGATGTATCCAAAGAACACCTCTAAACAGATGTATCCATAGAACACCTCTAAACAGATGTATCCACAAAACACCTCTAAACATACAGAGGTACAGATAAACTGCGTATCTGCGTAAATTACGCAAATATTTATGTGAAAACTCAATTCTATTAAGTCTATTATCCATAAGCACGCTCTGAAATTTTTCCAAATACTCAATAAATGTGATCTTACACGCGTACACACAAAAATGTCAAATCTTAATATGCGTACCGGTGGATAGATACTGTAACTGAGGTATATGAACTTGACAACTTGCAGTTTTCCTTATCACTTCTCATATTACAGATCAAATATAAATAAAAAACACTCAAATTTAAACTTTATTATATTTTTAAATTATTGGAAAATGGCAAAATACCCAATTGAGTTTGAGTGAGATGAGTACAATGTATTTGGTTACTATCAAAGGAAAATTTGATACCCAATTGAATGAACACAAGCACCTCTGAACAGTACATAACCATAATGACCCAAAACAGTTATCTGTAGCTCTGAACAGATGTATCCATAGAACACCTCTAAACAGATATATCCATAGAACACCTCTGAACAGATGTATTCACAGAACGCCTCTCTAAACAGATGTATCCATAGAACACCTCTGAACAGATGTATCCATAGAACACCTCTAAACAGATGTATCCATTGAACACCTCTAAACAGATGTATCCATAGAACACCTCTAAACAGATGTATCCATAGAACACCTCTAAACAGATGTATCCATAGAACACCTCTAAACAGATGTATCCATAGAACACCTCTGAACAGATGTATCCATAGAACACTTCTAAACAGATGTATCCATAGAACACCTCTGAACAGATATATCCATAGAACACCTCTGAACAGATATATCCATAGAACACCTCTGAACAGATATATCCATAGAACACCTCTGAACAGATATATCCATAGAACATCTCTGAACAGATATATCCATAGAACATCTCTAAACAGATATATCCATAGAACACCTCTAAACAGATATATCCATAGAACACCTCTGAACAGATATATCCATAGAACACCTCTGAACAGATATATCCATAGAACATCTCTGAACAGATATATCCATAGAACATCTCTAAACAGATATATCCATAGAACACCTCTAAGCAAATATATACATAGAACACCTCTGAACAGATATATCCATAGAACAACTCTGAACAGATATTTCTACAGAAAACTTCTAAACAGATGTATCCATAGAACACCACTGAGGAAACATGGCTACAATCATCACTGAACAAACACATCTAGAGACAAGACACAACAGCGACATGGCCACAAAAGATGGAACTGTTCCTGGTAATGAAGGCAAGGTTCAAATGACCAAGCAAACAAATGTAATTTTTCATAGTCAAACACAAATGATTTTGTACTTTCAGCTAATTTAAAAGGTGTTATTATCTTTGAAAATATAGATTATACATTTTGTTTCTGGATGTCAAGACAACCACTCTCATTTAACTTGGCCAAAATGGTAAGAGTGAGACAAAGGTCTTTTGAGAAAAAAATACTTTGCTTCTTGAGCTTAGCCATGTAAGGTGTGATTATTCTTACTGAACTTAAATACATCAGAATAACATTAATGTATCTATTTGTTGGGATGATCAATTCATCAATAATAATATCACAGTCACTTCCCTTGACCAGGCTTTGATGGGTTCCATAAAATCATGCATAGACATGCCTCAAACTAGATCACAACCAGAAAATGCATAAATGTCAAATCCTGAACGTATGTGTCAAATCCTGAACATACAGGTGAATACCAGAACATGCACATCAGGAAAGTGAAGTCACATATTAGGTGAAACTCCTTTAAAATGTCTCCTTCGTACAAGGGGAAGGCAAAACCACCTATATGTATACTACTAACCTGGTGGAAATCTTTTGCTCCCAAGGGAAGGTTTGCCTTGCAGGAGTTGAGTATCTGGACATCCTTCACCAACACCTCAATCTCCCCAGTGTCCATTTTCTATGGGACAAAACAGAACGTAATAAAAATAAACAATCTCAGCTTCTTACTGATAAAAAGAACTGGATCACATGGATTGAGTGTGTTGAGAAGCAGGTCTTGGGAATTTCCTTGCACATTTAAAGAAAGGAAATGCGTACTCCTGAAGGACAGGAAACTTAACAGGGGTGACAACTCAGATGGAACAGTGCCTTGAAGGGACATAACTGTGCAAAGCAATGACCAATATCATTGGTGTGTCATACACACTGAGGATGGATAGAGAGTACATTGAGCCTACAGATACATAGAAGGACATCCATGTTTTACATATAGAAGGGCATGTCTGCCCCCCACTCAGCATGGAAGTACTGTGATGCTGCCACAGAGCCAGCCAGTACTTACCTTGTTCTTCTCTCCATCAGGCCGACACTGGACCGTTCCCTTAACTTCATAGAACTCCCTTAACTCCTCGAAGAACAGAATCATATGTCAGCGAGGATAATTTGCTGCCTAACTTTTCCAACTGAAACAAGTGACACCATTACATCAGGATTTGCGTCTTCAACAGTTCATACGTACACTATGCAGGTAAACATGATTAAGACCAATACAATACTTGTAAGAATAGTTTAAAGTGCTCATGTACATGTTCTTGGTGGGAAATTACTGACTTACAATTCACTTTTCATAGAAATATACACCAATATAGACACTTTTCACTTTTGTGGTGTGAGTACCTGATATTTCTGGCTGTGTCAGGGTCCACTAGCAAAGATAACAGGCCTTTGAAAGACAGTGAAACTTGAATTTTATCTGTAATAACGTTTACTAGAATAACCCAATATGCATTAATTGTACCTTATTCACATGGTACAAACATTTTTTAGGTGTTTCTATGTGATTTTTTCATACACAACAGTTTAATATTGCAAACAGTTATTACTAATGCTTCACAGTATTCAACATTTTCTGTTGCATGCTGCAGTCAGTCCACCAACCTGATCCTCTGCCACCACAGTCTGGGTGATGCCATGCCAGTCTCGCAAAACAAAGAATAGGCCCATCCTGCGGTACTGCAACCATCCACACAGTGTCACATCCTTCCCCACATCCGCAACACGCAACTCCCCACAAGTGTGAGTGCGTGATGTGAAGCTCACCTTGTCTGGAATCATCAAACTGAGGATTATTGTATGCTAAGATCAGTACCTCAGCTGACATTAGAAACAAAACATCAGTGACCTGGCACATTGAGTGTTTTCATGCCATGATATTGTAGCAGGACGTGGAGTCATCCCACAGATGACATTCTTTCCTTGTCACTAATGTCAGCTTGCTGATGGGGTTAGGCTTTTTGGACATGTGGACAAATCTTTCGACTTTGGATCAAAAGGTCTGTGGTTTGAATCCCAGCACAAGACTCAGAAATTTTATGGCTACAGTATGATACACAATGTCTCTTTTCTGCATGCATCGACACAAGATGATACACTTGCTAAAATAAAATACTAGCTACTCTTCCCATTCACGGGTATTCATGCTTAACTACAGCATGGTATCTCAGTCAGTTAGCACTATAAAACCAGTTTATGTCTGGGCTAGTACAAGCAGCCACACATACACATGCATGCACGTCATCATATGAGCGAAATATTCCTAAGTATGACGTTAAACCCCATTTCACCTCACCACTGCAGGACTAAAAAATACACATATATATATACATATATGCACACACACACATGCATGTGCATGGACTGACACAAACATATTTGTGCCCAATGACTTTACTTGAAAATAGTGTTTTAAAAAGTATGTAAAACGTTTCAGTTCTGTCGGCAGACCTCAGTAATGATCATAGGCTTGATGCTGGTCTCTTATCTGCAATCACAGAAAATCACATGGCTTGTGTGAAGCCCAGTGGAAGTTGAATAGCAAACCAGTGACATCAGGATAAACATATCACGTCATTCTAAAGAGTCATGGTCACACTAGTAACTTTGGAAGCCATTGCTTTTTGTAGTGGTTAATTATGTCTCAGTAATCTCTGTTACCAACTTACACATTTTCCAGATTTGATTAAATAGGTATGTCTTGTAGCTTCATTCTGAATATTCAGTCACAGGAGCAGTAGCGGGACAGTGCATGCTTGTTGTTAAGCAAGCTGCTGGTGAAGTCACATCTCAGAACAATATAAGAAAAACTGTCATTCAAAATGGTATGATACACCATTGGGTATTGTGATGTGTTTGTAATGTTTGCAGTTCTGAATTCTAAAAGGTAGATCCACCTTTATTAATTTTTCAAGTCTATGGCAACTTGTGCTAGGTGGTAATGACACAAGAGAGCAGAAATTTTCGTGCAGCATTGAAACATTGCATATGCTTTGAAATCACGTGTAGTGTCCACACTTAAGTAAACGATAGACCAGGATGTGTGTTTTTTGTATTTTTTATTTACGATTCTAAAGTTTCTGATCAATGACACCCATATCTCTCCAATCAGCCATGGTCTAAAAGAGCAAAAGAGGTGAAATTATTCAAGGGCTAAAATAGCAAAGATAAACATAATCAGTTGAACCTGCATCAATTCGCATGATGGCAGGCACGTAGTGGGCCCCGCGTAGTCAGCTGCAATGTCAAGAAACCTCACCGGTAGTCACGAACCGAGTCAGGAGCAGCAACATGATTGGCAGCCGTAAATATGCATTGATAGGTCAAATGTAAATTAGAATAAACAGATATTCCTACCAGTAGCAACATTTGAGGATAAATGTCTATGGAAACAACATCGTGGCCGAACATGATGTAATAATGCATCTCTCAAAATCGAGCAGACGTTTTTCGCCGCCATGCTTTATACCGGAAGCGGAAACATATCCTTGGGTTACAGTAAATGCACGCCAAGGAAAAGAAATGGACATAAAATATTTGAGAATGAAACTCTTTTCTCATGTCTTAGAAATAGCACGCATATGCTTTTACAAAAGATATTAGGATGATGTAATTGGGAATTAAATAACCATAAGAGATAAAACAAGAAGAAGTGACTCAAATGTCACCGCATATCATTCAAGGGATTTCGTTTTATGTGTGAATCCGTAATATCGATATAATCAGCCAGATGGCAGGCGATGGGAGTCGGCTGACAAGAGTGTTTTCAACTAAAGACAGTAGAGTCGTGCATCAAAGAAATCTTTTCGTATGAGACATGGCACAGTCATAAATATCTTTATTCTAATCACTTTGCGTAGAATTTCTCCACGAATATGTAATACCGGTTGTCACAGCAGGGGATGGTAGTAACTGACAGCTCCTGTTGCAGTTACCAATACCATGCATCAGGGTCTACTGTTGGACAGCGTGTGGAAGTGATGGCTGAGATATCCACTTGCAAATTTGTTGGTTTTTGGATTTATGTTTTCCACTGTGTTATTGAAAGTCTGACTGTTTAATTAAGGAGACCATTTTAAGACTTTGATGCTTGACATTAATCAAGCAGATCATGTTGGTGATAGATACATGTGTGCAGTAAAATTTAACACACAATGTCGCTGTTCAAACGTTTACTTGGTGGCTCAAACCAAGATGTCTCTAAGGGCTCCCCACCCCAGGGAATGCAGGCGATGGGAGCGCAGTTACAGAGAAAGTTTGCTAAAGGAGTGCAATATAACAGTAAGTTGAACATGTGGTTCGTTCGTTAGATGCCAGTCAGTATTTTATAGTGAATAGAGTGTCTTGCCTGTGAGCAGAATATCATTGATTCAGTTCCGAACTGGATCATACATAAACATGTTAGAAGATGGTACTTTTTGTTACCCTGCCTGGTGTTCAGAGTAAGTGGAAAGAACAAGGCAGATCAGACTAAAGTCAGTATTGTGCCTCATATGGGTATTGATGTTAATGTGTGTCACTGTATTTCAGTATACTTTATGCCATAAAACCAGGACGGGCAGTGTTCGAACTTAAAAAGGATCCTGGGATCTGTAGTTCACTGCGAGCATATTTGAATATAGAGATCATCTGACAGTCAATGCCTTCAGTTTTATACATAATTGGTTTGGAAAAGACAGCTTGACTGTCATGTACAGTTGCCACCACGTACAGTCTGTACTTGGATTGTAAGGGATATTTTAAACAGATATGAGTTGTGATATCAGTTGTTCTGTTGTCATCACACCCATCTCATGCATATATTATTGTTATCAGTTCTCGTATCAGCTGATAATGTCTACTTTGAGAGGCATTTTAGAAGTTGTAAAGATGAAGGAGTGAGTGAGTTTAGTTTTACGCCACACTCAGCAATATTCCAGCTATATGGTGGCGGTCTATAAATAATCGAGTCTGGACCACACAGTCCAGTGATCAACAGCATGAGCATCGCCCATACAGTATTCTTAAAAAATGCAAAAGTAAATTCCCACAAATCATCTTTATTACCATGGTTACATACACTGAATGTGGTTTTGTCAAGTTTGCATGGACCAATTTCTGCTAAATAGACAATTATGGTGCATCTAAAACTTATAAAAAAACAACAAAACAATTTGTTTTTTGAATTGATGAAAAATATTAAGGAGATATATTTTTCCTTATCCTTACTCATGCTATATTGCTTATCTCCCTTCTTCTTTCGACGGTTATGTGGAAATTTGAATCCCTGGTTCCCTGAAGAACAGTAAAATCACTCACCCATGAGTGGCCTCCCCTTTCCCGTCACGTGACCTGAGCCATGCTCTCATCACTCTCTCCGGCATTGCCCAAGCGGACGGTGGGGTGGTTTCTGTGAGTCCTGTTTACGGTTTCTTGAGTCCTGTTTACGGCTTCATGTCCTTTTATATTTAGGCCAGAATTCGAATATTAAGGCCATGAATTGTATATTAGTACCTTTTGTTATCATAATGTTGCATTTATTTACGTAAAATTATGGCTAACTCTTTAGGTTTTTCACTCCGTTTGCAGGTGACTGTATTTACATGGTGGCATGTAAACAATGCAGGTTTCACATATCAGCAGTTGACTCACACAATGTGTGTTTTCTTGTGTTAATACTGTTATCTTGCTTCACGCTGTATATATGATGCACATTTATCTGAAATTGCAATTAGTAAATTTTTTGTTACCCTGTTTACGCAAGGCGTGACATGATCTGCTGATAAGGGTGTTTCCAGTCATCTGTTCGTGAATTATCATCTCATCCAGCCTCAGGGAATGTAACATTCTGTTTACCAATTATTGGAGTCTCCCTTTGGGGTTATTCCCATCTCTGCCATTCTTAGTAGTTTTCTCTTAGCTAGGTTAAACCTCAGTAGCAGTAGAAGAAGTCAGTAGCTGTAGAAGAAGTCATCATCCTTTTCGTAGACTTCCTCAGTGTGGCCATCACCATCGAAGGCATGTCAAAGTACGTTATTTCGTGAACGTGGTGCCTGCTGATGAATTACGTTCGTTTGCAAACGTGGTGCCTGCTGACGAAGTACATTCGTTCCATGCAGAATTGTCATGCGACGGCTACTACATCAGCCAGGCAGACACAGCACCTTCACCGTGACAGCAGAGTTCACAGCCGACTACTCGTCATCAGCGTCTGCAGTCCAGCAACCCGCTAGTGTTCACGAATGCTATTCCGTCGCCGGATGAATCCATGAATCATCTCCTTCTGCTCCAGCATGGACCAGATTACCAGAAGGCAGTTTGGCGATACAGCACAGTTGTTCACGGTACTCCAGCGTCCCCTCTATCAGTCTACACTAGCGGCATGCTTCACGGACCTTATCAATGGGGGAATACCAGGTTCAGACGACAATGCACAGAGATAGTATCCTGGGTTGCTGATGGCCTGCCGATATCTTTGTGGACCTGTGACTCCAATCCGGCGTCACAGTCCATGTCTAAGATGGAGTGTCATCTTAGGGAAAGGGGTTTGATCTCCAGAGTGGGCGAAGAAGAAGAAGACGTCATCATCTTCAAAGTCGGTGTCGTCAAAGCCTGCTGACGAAGTATATGCTCATCTTGCTCACAAACCAAGGTTGTTGAGGAGATCTACGCAGCAGAGGACTACAACCAAGTCTAAAGGGTTCGCGAACCCTTCAATGCACGATAACATCCAGAAAGATCCGGACTCATCTATTCATACTGATGCTGAGGTACCTGTTTGGATTGCTGATGACCTGCTGATATCATCGCTGATCTGTGACTCCATTTCGATGGGAATCTACTGTTTCAGAGACGACGACTTCGACTGTCTGACTGTTGCTACGGTGAAGCAGTTCATCCTAGACTACTTTCTGAAAATGGACAAGTTCAAGATGCTGCATGTACCTCAACTATGACATCTGTTCAGACCTGGCAGCTACCTATGTAATACGCCTATTTGCACATCCCCATACATCCAACCTTGAGGAAGTATCTATGATTCCTGTATAATGGGCAGCTTTACCAGTGGAGGGTCATCCCCTTTGGAATTTCCTCAGCCCCATGGGTTTTTTTTACACATGTAACCTAGCCCATTACTGTGTATCACCATCAGTGGGGACTGCGCAGTGCCTTCTACCTAGGAGACAGAATCCAGGCGCATCAACTAGCAGATCAACTCAGATGTCACCTACAGTTTAGTAACGCAGCTGGGCTGGCTAGTCAACCACATGAGGTCGGAGTTAGAGCTGTCTCAAGATCTGCAATTCCTCGGCATCAGGTTCATCACCATGAAGAACTGTATCATGGTTCCAGAGGACAGATGGCCAAGTAGCTAGTTGGGTCTACCAGACACTATCAACTCTCCACTACCGATAAGAGGGTGGCATCGTCTATTGGGTCTCTTCACGTCGGCACAGGCTCTCACATGCAGAGGAAGATTGTTACAACGCTTCCTCATGCCTCTTCTCGACAGTCTACAGAGAATCGCCATTCCACAGCACCTAAAGTAGTATCTACTCTGGTGGACAGACAAATCGAATGCTTGCAGCGGAACCTGTTTACAAGAACCGGCCCACAACCTGCATCTCTTTGTGGACGCATCTCTGCAAGGATGGGGACTGCACTTCAACGAGGAGGTCGCATCAGGAAACTGGCCACCGGAACAATGGGCTCTACACATAATCAGCTGGAATTCAAGGCAGTCATCGAGGCAGTTCAACACTGGGCACATCTACTGAGGAATCAAGTCCTTATGATACACATGGACAACTCAACTGTAGCCTTCTACAGAAATCTGCAAGGCTCAACGAGATCAGCGCCGCTGCTACAACTGACATTCCAGCTCTTCAACTTAGCAGATGACTTCAACTTATGGATGAAGGCCTGCTACATCCCAGGGGCAAAGACCGTCTTAGCCGACGACGCCTTATCCAGACCGATCCGGCCATCACCCACAGAGTAGACGCTGCACCCGGAAGCGTTCCAGCTGCTGACCGGAGATCTAGGCTGTCTCCTCATAGATCTGTTTATGACACGCTTCAATCATCAGATTGCGACGTTCCTCTCACCGCTTCCAGATCCTCAAGGCTGAGCTCTTGACACTCTTGCCATATCATGGGAGGGACTGAACGCATATACGTTCCCACCGCCGATCCTGCTACCACAAACCAAAGTCCTGCAAAGTCTACCAGATTGGCCGAATCTACTGATCCACCCTCACGCAAGGCAACCTCACAGCAATCCAAGGGTTCCAGCTACATGCATGGAACGTATTACACACTGCCTGAAGAGAAGAAGGTATTCCACCAGAGCAGCCAGGGCAGTTACACTGGCCTTAAGATGATCAACTCATACCTATGCAATGATAAGTGGAAGAGTTTTGACCAGTTGCTGCACACAACAGGTTTTTCGGCCGTTAAAGCTGTCACATCTGCAAGTAGCAGAATATCTCTATCACCAGTGAGAAATACTGGACACCTGAAGGGATCTACACTCTCCACATATGTGGCAGGGATCAGCTCCATACTCATCATGAATACGGGAGTCAAGCTCACCAAAGTGCCTGAACTCGTCGTTTTACTGAGGTCATTCAAGCTAGAAGACTAGACGCAGAAGTGTTAGAGCTGCAGCATGGAACCTTATCGTAGTGTTGCAACATCTTACCAGTAATGTCTACGAACCCCTGGGACACTCCACGTTTTAGTGGTTAACTCACAAGACGTTTTCTTCCTCGCCTTAGGTACAATAACTTGGATGTCAGAGATACACACCCTTGACTATGGACGAACCGGATTCGACTCTGGAGAGCATGCTGCAGTCCATCTGGGACTTAGATGGGACTTTATAGCGAAGAATCAGCTGCCTGGTCAACTGGATAGACAATTCCACGTTCCGGCATCATCTACCATCCTTGGACTAGATGATACACCCGACCTGTCCCTGTGCCCAGTCAGAGCCTTGAAGATCTACTTACAACGGACTGCTACAAGGAGGAGGAAGTTCAAGCATGTCTTCATCCGATTATCACCCACCACGACTATATAGGTCTCCCGAACAACCATCTCGTTTTGGATCAGAGCTGTCATCCTACGAGCCAACAAAGCTGCAGGGTTAGATCCACCTAGAGACTCCAACCCACATGAAGTTAGAGCATTAGCCTCGACACTCGCCCTACTCGAGAATTGCTCTATATCGTCTATTATGGAAGGCTGCTTCGGGAAGTCGGACACAGTGCTCACCAACCATTATCTTTATGATATCGCTACAGAAGATGTATCCGGTATCCAACAGTTTGGGCTCCTTGTAGTAGCGCAGCAACACACAATTCCAGCCAGAAGATGAGAAACTCACCTTTGTCACGCTGACTTGTTGATGCCAGGTAATTGATCCATTGCCGCTGGCAAAGAGTCCATTTTCCCCTGTCTTACAAGATAAGTCAGTGACTTAGGCTCAGTTTTGGTAATAGTCCTTACCTTAACATATAGGTCGTAATAGTCGTACAGATAACTAGTCAACAAGGCATACTAGTTTATCTAAAATCCACGAAATCTATATGATTTACTTCTTTTATTGATTTAAGAGAAGGTGGTCCCCCGATTATCATCAGAATTTGGACGCAGTAGCAGAAGCCGAAAGAAGAGTTCTTAGGGGTATATGATCAGATGCTATTTAATCGAACAGTACAGTGAATCCCGGCAAGTGTTTGACCGACAACCTATTTCCGTCAGATTCGGTAAGCAATATAGCATGAGTCTGGATAAAGAAAAATATGTAATTTTTCTGATAGGGGAGGCCACTCGTGGGTGAGTGATTTTACTATTCTTCAAGAACTATGGATTCAAGTTTCCACCTAACCGTCGAAAGAAGAAGGGAGATAAGCAATATAGCATGAGTCAGGATAAGTATAAAATATCAATTTTATCATAATAATTACATTTTCTTGCATTTTCAGTGAAAATTGTTATTCGAGGTGACCGAAATACAGGTAAAACCTGCTTGTTCCATCGCCTGCAAGGGCAGCCATTCAAGGAGGAATATATCCCTACAGATGAAATACAGGTTGGTTCAGCAGCGAGTCAGCGACTGTGTTTTGTACACCACATTCAAGATGTAATGTGTCACTTTGTAAGCAGTCAGTCTTGGTTAAGTTTGTCAGTGGTTAACAGTATGAGTAAATTATGCACGGTGCTGGGGCAAGATGACACAATGTCAACCCACTCCCACACTATGAAAACCCAACCCATAATACACCACTACTGCAACATGCCAGGGATATTTGGAACCTGTTGTCACATTAATGTCAAAAGTTTTTACAGGGGCAAGTTGTTTTGAATATGTACACATTGGATGAATGTTGTAAAGTTATCTCCCCTGTATTGGATCTTGTTACATGAGTTGTGTGGGAAGCACTACCTGTATATTGCTGAGTTTGGGCCCGATCAACAGCAGAGGGAACAATGAGTTCGCTAGATATAACATTACATCTAGTTGAAGCAACTTGTGGTTAAAGCCTTTTAACTGTATCTCAGTGTGTTGAGGATGGGTATCTCATGTGCTGAGTTTCTCTTCTAAACATCTTGAGTTATAATGTACGTTTCCCATGTAGACTGATATCTATAGTCTATAGTGTACTTTTATTTAGGCTTGCCGCAAGTTGATGGCAAGTCTGACACAACAGGAATTATGATCACATAGTGTGCCACATTTCATTGCATGCTTACTGAAACCTTTAATGGAGATGGTATACAAAAGACATGTCAAATAAGAGACGTGACAAAGGACTATGTTTTCAGGTAGCCAGCATCCACTGGAACTATCGTGCCACTGATGATGTTGTAAAGGTGGAGGTGTGGGACGTTGTGGACAAGGGTAAAAAGAAGCGGAAGTCGGATGGACTTAAGTTGGACAACTCCATCGATAGTGTAAGTCGGACAGTCATTGTGTCAACATTGTTGATAATATAAGTTGGACAGTCATTGTCGAACAAAGTTTATGTCGAATGTGAGGCACTAGAGGTTTCAAGCTTTTGTGTACCCATTTACTGCTTAGTGAAAAGAGGCACAATTTTTAAAACTTATCATATCTCACGATTTGTACTCTCTCTCTCAAAAATAGTCTCATGATCAACAGCTGAGTGGAAACGAACTGTAAACACAGTTTCTGGCCTCTCTTGTACCATTCGACCGAACATGCCCCACTACTCCCATTCCTGGACAGCCTTGTATCCTCTGTGAAGCATGCTGCATGCTCCCCGGTTGATCATGTGACTCCGTAGTCTGATCATTCTCTTTCTTGTCACACTGCTGTGCAGACGTGCTGTATTTGAAGTGATACAATTCATTAAACAGAGGTACAGATAAGCTGCGTATCTACACAAATATTTATGTGAAAAATCAATTCCTATTAAGTCTATTGCATACAAGTACGCTTGAATGTATGAAAGTACTCAATAAATTTGATCTTATATGCCTACAAACAAAACTAGATAAAATAAGTGAGGTATATTGAGAGGTTCTATTTCAGCACCTGAACTTGGCAACTCTTGGCAGTCTTTCTTATCGTTTCTCATATAACAGATCAAATATAAATAACAAACACGTAAACTCACTCACTCACTCAATGGAAAATTAGGATACCCAATTGTACAAAACTCAATGACCCAAGAAGTTATCTGTAGCTCTGTTTAATCTATCTAACACAGTAACAACTGTGGGGAAGAAGTTCCTTCACCCGTTTTGCAACATCTGGTCTCCAGCGACTACGAACTGTTGGACGAACAGAACTGTGAGCGCATTATTTTCAAGATCTTCTTCCTGGTAGTCTTGGCTACTGCTGGTTGTATGTAACTCCATGCATGGGATGTTAACTGCCTACGTTTCGGGAAGAACGGCAAACTCTTTCTCGGTCTTCGCTGGGATTTTATGGCGAAAAATCAACTGTCAAGTCTCCCATACTACCCTAGCTTTTTGTATGAGGTCAATTTTACTGCAGGGTTACACCTTTGCCGGTCTTCCCCCCTCCAGTTGCGTCAACACTCAACCGTTAGCATCCACTATGGCTCTCCACAGAAACTGCTCGTTGACATTGATGACGGAGGGGTGTTTCTGGAAATCTGAGATGGTCTGCGCTTCCCACTACCTACGTGACATCTTAGTGACTGATGTACAGGGACATCATCAGTTTGGTCCATTGGGACTGGTGCAGCAACTATCCTCAGCTCATCAACGCAGATAGTAGCACCCTTCATGCGCGACGTCCGTGTAACCTTGTATAAAGTAAAATAAGCTGTATTGAACTGCAATGGTAATGGTACAAGAGAGGCCAAAAGATGTTTTACAGTTCGTTTCCACTCAGCTGTCAATCATGAGAGAGTACAAACCATGAGATAGGAAAAGTATTAAAAATACAGTGGAAGCTTTCAAAACAGGCAGCTGTCCAATTCGGCAAGTTGTCAACACCGGCATAAAATCTCAGTCCCGTCCGTGGCTAGTACATTTATCATCATTTAAAAGCTCTGCAATCCGGCAGCTGTCAATTCCAGATCTCGGTATGAAATGAGCTAACCGAATATGTGTTTATACAGTAATCAGCGCTGTCTAATCCAGCGCATGGCAAGGAGTCAACCAGATGTGTATTCTCATCAATTAATCCTTCGTTGATTACATGGTTGCCAATAAAGACAATTAGTTCAACATGGGTATAGTTGTACATGTTACTAGTGAGTTGACATGTTTTATTGTGATACAGCATTGTATATGAGAGTGACAAAACTGGTCCACTCCTAGTCGAAGATAACCATGTCAGCTCTACAATCTGGCCCGCTGTCTAAACCGGATTATTTCTTCAGTCCAGACGAGTGCCGGTTTAGACAGCTTCCACTGTATATCATTTATAGTTAATATTTACAATTTTGAAGAAAGTCACTTGCACCACATTATTCACAACCAACGCTTGTATGTGCCCTGTTGGATTAAGGTCTGCCGACCTAATGAATACTTATTTTTCCTTATCCTGACTCATGCTTTTTTGCTTGTCTTCTTCTTCTTTACGAACATAGTGGAACACTTGTATCTCCCAATTGAAGTTCCCTTCAATGTAAAATCACTAATTAGTACTCACCACGAGTTATCCCTTTCCTCGCAAGCGCGGGAACGAGGGGGCCACCTCCCACCATGTGCCTCACTCTCTCCTTCTTCGCCCAGTGAGCTGGACGTGAGAGAGCCTGTGTCTGCCTACACACTATATCCTTTAATTATATTTAGTTTGGTATCTCTTATATTCATCTATAGAGGTGTAACTAGTATCCTTATTCAACATGCATTGATAATTATTCGTGTTTCTGCTGCTTTATTCACGGTTCGCCGTGTTTGCTCAGCAGTTTGCGTTAATGAAAATCTGCACTGTTTGTAAATTACGTTACTCTGCTGCCGATCCGCATTTAATATGCCCTAGTTGCATAACTCCATGCTCTATTGGTTCACGCTACAAATTTTGTATTAATTTGTCTAATTCTGCCTTTGATAAATATTTATATTCCGTCTTGAGACGGGCGGCAGATAGATCTCGCAAACAATCTTCAGTCATGGCTAATAGATCGGAGTCAGATATACCATGTCAACTTTTGGCGGACGACCCTCTACCGTCTGGTGTTCCGCCTGAGTTACCTTCGGGGATAAGCGTGGGGCGCGCTATATATCAAGCGACCTGCTTAAGATGTTCCATCATCACAGTCTAAGACTAGAAGAGCTTCCGCGTCGTCTCAGCGTGCGGCTCGAACCCCCAGGTCTACAGCTTCAGTCAAAGGAAATCTCCGAAGGCTACTAAAAACTTTGCTTCTGATATTCTACCTGTTTCAGAATTGTGTTTATATGATGATGACATTTGATTATCATTACAGATGCGCGTCATAAGAAGCGACCAGTATCGGGCTACCGTCACTTCAGCAGAGATCAACACGCAACCAGAGATGCCTATGCTGTAAGCCTGAGATTATAACTGAGGGTCCCGTCACTATCACAGAGGGACACCCTCAACGCCAGCATGACCGACCCAGGCGACCTGGTTAACCAAATCATGAGATTGATAGAAGACCGTCACGGTTTACAGAGGCCTCAGAGCCGGGCCCCAGAGCCCAACCCATAAGTCATACAGGGCCCTAGAGCCCGCCTTGACTTCGCGTAGGGCCCTAGAGCCCACAAACGCGCCTCCACGAAGGGCAACCCAGCCCGTAGCGAAGCCTTTTGCGAAGATCGTCCCAGGCCGCCTCCACGAAGGATCCAGAGCCTCACCAGTTGCGAAGGGCTTCGCGGAGGAGGAGTGCTTCACCGAGCTCACACCCTGTAGAACACAGAGGTGGATTGTGCGACAGGCTCCCATATAATGATTCGGACTCTGACTCGATACCTTCCGAAGGCCTTCCGCGAAGGTTAAGTGGCTCCAAGTCATCTTCACCCAGAAGATCTAGAAGGGACTCATCGAGAGCTTCACGAAGCCACCAGCATTCGCCGAGGAAGTCTCCTTCAAGGTCTCCATATACTAGCCACTCGTCAGTCCGTTCACCACAATCTTCTCGTCGATCTTCTTACTACAGATCTAGGACTCCACCTCACTCTATTATATGTGATCCTACGTCAGAAGAGGAAGAAGGTATCGTATTCTCAGATGCAGAAATTAGATACTGGATGGTGAATGGATTAGAACTTGCTTCCCCGTCTAAGAACGAGAACTCAGCTCATACTTATTTGATGAAGGAAGATGATGCGGACACTATCACCTTACCTCCTATTGACCCGATAGCAGCGGTTCCAGCTAATCTGGATACAGCCTTTACCTAATCTACGAAATTCCAATCAACACATTTCCCGGTTTTCAACGCCAAGAAATTTGCAGGTCACAATATGGACTCCTTTTTCAAGGCCCAAGAGATTGATGACAACTTTAAGTTAATCAGTGATGCCAAGTCCAGGAATTACAGATTAGACGATGAAATTCAGGTTTGGAACGACTGGAGTCTTCCACCCCCAGCCGTTCCAGTACAACCTTCTCAAGTGGGTGGACGCCTTCAGCGGCACTGGGAAAACTGGGGAATACTACAAGATCCCTATGTATCCAATATCCTACAGCACGGATATCTAATACAACTCAAGGCAAGGTTCGACTTTCAACCGGCACAACTACCTATGTTAAGAGAAACAGTAGCTACGCTGTTAAGCAAACAGGCCTTAGAAGTTCTGGATCAGCGAAACATCGTACCAGGTTTCTACTCCCCAGTTTTCCTAGTGCCCAAGAAAAATTCCAGGGAAAAGTTTTGTCTCATATACAACATGAGCATCTTCAACAAAGACTATCTAAGCAAACCGCCAGCGTTTCGCATGATACACTTACCGCAACTTCGGCACTTAATTCGTCCCAAAGATTACATGGCCAGCATAGATTTGCAAGACGCATATCTACACATTCCGATTCATCCCAACTCAAGGAAATATCTAAGATTTATGCTAGACGGGAAACATTACCAATGGAAAGTACTTCCCTTCGGAATCTCATCGGCCCCTTGGGTATTCACAAGAGTGACCAAGCCTATTGTCTCATACCTACATCGTCAAGGTCTTCGCAGCGCATTTTACCTAGACGACGGGATACAAGTGGATCCAGATCCACAGCGTCTCAGACTACAGCTGAACTTATAATACTATGACAGTGGCAGATCCTATTGGGACTACTCACATCAGCTCAAGACTTGACAGTCAGAGGCAGGCTTCAATTACGTCCGTTACAAGTCCTCATCAATGCGCATCTCGAGGACCCTCTACCGTTCAGTCTACCAGATCACGTCAAACCTCATCTACTCTGGTGGACCAAGAGATTGAATGTTTGCGTAGGCGTCTCCTATTAGAGCCGGAATCAAAAACACATCTCTACGTAGACGCGTCACTACAAGGTTGGGGAGCCCACCTCGCCTACAAGACAGTGTCAGGCCTATGGAGCAATCAAGAGAGCAAATATCACATAAACCTGCTAGAGATGCAAGCAGTCATAAACGCCATAAGTCACTGGAGCAACTTACTACAGAATGCTCAGTTGATGATTCACACAGACAATTCGACAATGGCATTTTATGTGAACAAACAAGGCTCAACAAGGTCACCGAACCTACTATCCCTATGTTTCCGATTATTCGATCTAATCGACAATCTAAACATACATGTCAGAGCTTGCCACATTCCAGGAGCAAAGAATGTATTAGCAGACGCTCTCTCTCGGCCACACCTACCGTCGCTGACAGAATGGATGCTCCACACAGAGATATTCACTCAAATAATCATGGAAATAGGATCTCCACTAGTAGACCTATTAGCCACCGATTCAACAAACAACTGACAACCATTATGTCGCCAGTTCCAGACCCACTAGCATGGGCAGCGGACGACGCTAAGCATATCGTGGGAGGGACTCAGCGCGTGCGGCTTTCCGCCAACAGCGTTAATCCCACAAGTCTTACAGAAAATCAGTCAAGCGCCAGAGCCTCCATCTGATTTTGGTCGCGCCCTACTGGCCAGCGAGAACGTGGTTTCCAAACCTTATTCAAGAAATCGGACAACCAATTCTACAACTTCCACAACGCTCGAATCTATTGATACATCCGCACACCAGACAAGTGCACGGAAAACCAGAAGTATTCCAACTTCACGTATGGATTGTATCAAGGCATGTCTGAATAAGAGAGGATATTCAGCCAGAGCGGCAAAAGGAGTCACGCTTGCACTGCGTAACTCAACTCGCAACTTATACGATGACAAATGGCACAGTTTTGTCAATTATGCTGCAAAGAAAGGATTTACAGCCAGATATGCTACTCATCCTCAAGTCGCGGACTACTTATGTTATCTACGACAAACTAAGAATCTAAAACGCTCAACTTTGTCCACTTATCTTGCAGCATTAAGCTCTGTCATAACTATGAGAACCAGCGTCAAGTTAACAAAAACCCCAGAGTTACTCGCTTTGCTACGAGCGTTCCGATTGGAGGATCACAAGCGGAAGTTTCACGCTCCAGCTTGGGATCTAAATATAGTGCTCCAACACCTCACAAGTGAGGCTAATGAACCGTTAGAATCTACATCGTTTGAATCACTGACCCAGAAAACTTTGTTCCTGTTAGCGCTAGCTACGGCTGCCAGGATGTCGGAGATTCACGCTTTGGATTACGAGAGAACACGCTTTGATGATATTCATAATATCGTACATCTGGGACTACGCTGGGATTTTATAGCTAAAAACCAATTGCCAGGTCAACCAGACAGATTATTCCACGTCCCAGCTCTCTCATCCATTCTTGGACCTCATGATACGATGGATCTATCACTATGCCCAGTAAGAGCACTGAAAATATATCTCCACCAATCCAAACAAAGGAGAGGAAAATTCAAGAGATTATTTATCCCTCTATCTACAGCTACGCAGACGGAAGTCTCACGTACTACTATCTCAATTTGGATCAGAACTGTCATACTACGTGCCTACAAGGCTGCAGGACTCGACCCTCCAAGAGCATCTAATCCTCATGAAATTAGAGCGCTAGCATCAACGCTTGCTCTACACGGCAACTGCTCTTTGAATACCATAATGGAAGGATGTTTCTGGAGATCCGATATGGTGTTTGCCAACCACTATCTGAGAGATATTACCACCAAGGACGTCTCAGGTATCCACCATTTCGGTCCCATGGTCCTCGCTCAACAGTTGACAGTTCCTTGGAGAAGATAAGTCAATCTTACAGATTTGTACTTATCTGATATCAGTACTAAATAGCTACATGCTATATATATATTTTGCTTAAGTTCAATCTGTTATCTTAACCTCAGTACCATGGTTATTATATCATACAATATATTAGCTAACAACTCTAGAAGTTTTGCTATTATATTTAGCTTAAGTTTCATCATATCTTAAGCTCAGTAATATGCTCACATTTTATATAGATATTAGCTAACAAACTCTACGGAGTCTTTGCTATTATATAGCTTAAGTTAAATTATATCTTAAGCACAGTACTATACTCATATAGCTTAAGTTTATGCATATCTTAAGCTTAGTACTTTGGTTACTTCATAAAAGTATAATTACTATAAACTCAAGGAGTTTATGCTATCACATTAACAACTTAAGTCTACTAGTCTTAAGCTTTGTACTAATGTTGTATATACTTTATCATTATAAGTATATTGTAATAGTTATATTGTAATAACCCATATATGGCAGCTGATAAGTTAGCAGCAGGAATTCATCAGTTCAGTGCCTTTATGAAGTTCCCATAGGGTTATTACAGTCATTACAATTCAAATCACTAATTATCCAAATCCAAAGTATTATATATTCCCAACTCCATAGCCGTCGGATTCTACAAGCAAAAAGCATGAGTCAGGATAAGGAAAATATGTATTTTCTGAGTAAAATTGATATTTTATACTTATCCTGACTCATGAGGTAAGCCCTCCCGTCCTGCCCACATAACACTTTGGATTTCCCTGTAAATTCAAGTGTTGGGCTCGCTACATAAGGAGAGAGTGAGGCACATGGTGGGAGGTGGCCCCCTCGTTCCCGCGCTTGCGAGGAAAGGGATAACTCGTGGTGAGTACTAATTAGTGATTTTACATTGAAGGGAACTTCAATTGGGAGGTACAAGTGTTCCACTATGTTCGCAAAGAAGAAGAAGACAAGCAAAAAAGCATGAGTCAGGATAAGTATAAAATATCAATTTTACTCAGAAAATTACATTTTTAAAAAAAGCAGTGAAAAAAGAAATGAACAAGTTATTGAGTTTGTGGATGGTGTGGAAGATGATGGTGCTAAATTTGCTGCTGATGCATCTGTTTATGTAGGTGGTAGAGGAGCCCTGTCTCGATGCAGAGTTCCTAGATGTTTACAAGGGAACTCATGGTGTCATCTTTGTCTATGACATTACCAAACAGTGGTGAGTACTAATGCATTTAGGTGAGGTGAGGTGAGGTGAAATTGGGTTTAACGTCGTACTTGAGAATATTTCGCTCATATGACGACGTGCATGCATGTGTATGTGTATGTGCGGCTGCTTGTACTAGCCCAGACTGAAGCTGGTTTTATAGTGCTAGCCCACTGAGATACCATGCCGCAGTGAAGCATGAATACCCCACTCAGACACATTATACTGACTCCGAGCCGACCAGTCCTTGATGTACCCATTAATGCCGAGCGCCAGGCAGGGACCAACAAGTACCATATTTTAACGTCTTTTGGTATGACGCGGTCGGGGATCGAACCCACGACCTTCCGCTCTCCGGGCGGACGCTCTAACCACTACACCACGGAGGCAGTCCCATTTAGAACATAACCTTGTGGAAACATTGACACAATATATATATAAGCCTGTAATGTGCAGCCTTTGGATGAACTGTTTTTGGGGTTTTTTCCCATCATTCATCTGACAGATGGTTGACTGAGTTAATGTTTCAAAGAGGCTTACACCAAACATTCATCATAAGTATGGGAAGACAAGAGTAAATATTTTAGAAAGGGTTATTCAAAACCTTAAACAGAAGTACAGGATGGCTACAGTCAGTGTTTCAGGAAGGGTTTCATTCACTGGATGGAAACTGATTTAATGTTTCAGGACATTCACCTATGTTGAGCGTGAGATCGAAAGAATACCATCTCATATTCCCATCATCGTCCTGGGCAACCATCGAGACATGGGTCACCATCGGACGGTAATTGAAGACAAGGCTCGCATGTTCGTGGAGAGTGTGCAGAAAGACAGGTCAGTCTCAATGGATATGCCATGTCTCCTAAGATACCATCCTCGATAATCTCCAGGGTATATGTACTGATAAGTCTCCACTCGTGCCCTGGATACATCTACATCTCAGCCCGATAATTTTATTACCTCCCTTTGCTGGCTCCGTATTCTCATAGTAGCCAATCAGTAAAGGTGTTACACCTGAGCTTGCAGTGTCAAGAAAGATGGTGGCCGCTGCTGCGGAGGTTTGATCGCTTTTAGGGGAAAAAACACAGATATTAGCTGCTTTACCTGTATTAGCTGTTGTATACTACTCACACTTTGCCAAGGATCACAAAAATTCAAAACTTTACTTAAACGTATATTCATAATTTGAAATTGTATCCATTTAAAACTGGATTAATAATAGTATGGTAACCCTTCTTTAGGCAAACAGCCACTTTAATCTAACCTTATGCACTTGAAACATGAGTAACCATAAAAATGGTTTTCATGGCACCAATCAACCATTTTGCAAATCATGGCAGGGGTCATTGACAAGTACACAACACCTGTCAATAGCAGGTATGGGATCCACAAAAGATGCAATGACATACTGAAACCTAGGATCCATGCTTACAATAAGCTTAGATATTTAAATCCAATTGGACCCCACATCATAGTTTTCTGTTGAATCCATGATATGATCCTTAGCAAAGTGTGAATAGTATATATAATATCTCTAGACTAACGTATATAAGCTGTTATACCTGTAGATATGAGCTGCTTTACCTGTTTTGACTGTTGTATAAATTTTATGCCCAAGTCAGTTGCTATTAGGGCTCCAGATAAGGGCCGTATCAGCATATGTACGGCTAAAAAATATGCATGAAACGGTAGGAAATAATTTAGAAAACGTTGCAGATACGCATCACAGCAATGGTGTACGGTCTCAGAATCATTTACAGACATATTTATCTGAAAAAGTTTATTGTTTATTGACCTGTTTACACAAGAGTAGCAATGTTGTGGTGCATATATGAAACGAAATACAAGATTACTGATACTGCATTAAATTCCATTCAGTACTCGAAATGTACTCTTAAGGTTTTCCAGTTCTCCTATATTACAAAAATAAGGAGTACGTACTCCTGATGTTGAACAATTATCTGGAGCCCTGGCTATATCTAGTTACATATCTGCTGCTGTTACAGAACGGAGGGTTCAGCACAAGCCAGGTATGCAGAGTGTTCCATGAGGAATGGATTCGGGCTCAAGTTCCTCCACATGTTTTTCAACCTGCCCTTCTTACAGCTGCAGGTAACTGTTGACCCTGCCTTGACCACAGCCTTGACCACAGCCCAAGCAGGATAATGTTTGCCGTGTCAGCATTTCAGCCACTTGTTCAAGCAGATGCCTTAATTAGTGGGAAAACATGCTAGTCCCCTAAGTAGTCCACATGTCTAAGCCTTGTGTCTGTGTGGCCAAGGAGCATCCCATGATCATTTGTTGAAATCCTTTATCAGCCCTGTTTAAGAATGTTGGTTTGTCAGTCCAATACCCATGCTTACTGTGGTAATTGTCAGTATAATGTAATTCTGTTCAAAGCAGTAGTACTGCCAGCTCATTGTAAGGTGCTGTTGAGATTATCTGTATCTCAGCCAATTTCCTGTGTGAACCCTGTGATCCCATATGACACACTGTACTGTAAGTAACACCCAATATGCTGTATGACACCCTATACTATGAGTAATGCCCAATATGCTGTATGATGACACCCTATACTGTGAGTAACACCCAATATGCTGTATGACACCCTATACTATGAGTAATGCCCAATATGCTGTATGACACCCTATACTATGAGTAATGCCCAATATGCTGTATGATGACACCCTATACTGTAAGTAACACCAAATATGCTGTATGACACCCTATACTATGAGTAATGCCCAATATGCTGTATGATGACACCCTATACTGTGAGTAACACCCAATATGCTGTATGACACCCTATACTATGAGTAATGCCCAATATGCTGTATGACACCCTATACTATGAGTAATGCCCAATATGCTGTATGATGACACCCTATACTGTAACACCCAATATGCTGTATAACACCCTATACTGTAACACCCAATATGCTGTATGACACCCTATACTGTGAGTAACACCCAATATGCTGTATGACAACCTGTACTGTCAGTAACACCCAATATGCTGTATGACACCCTATACTGTAAGTAACACCCAATTAATGTATGACACCCTATTATGCGAGTGAAACCCAATATGCTGTATGACACACTGTACTGTAAGTAACACCCAATATGCTGTATGACACCCTATACTGTCATTAACACCCAATATGCTGTATGACACCCTATACTGTAACACCCAATATGCTGTATGACACCCTATACTGTCATTAACACCCAATATGCTGTATGACACCCTATACTGTAACACCCAATATGCTGTATGACACCCTATACTGTCATTAACAGCTGTATGACACCCTATACTGTAACACCCAATATGCTGTATGACACCCTATACTGTCATTAACACCCAATATGCTGTATGACACCCTATACTGTCAGTAACACCCAATATGCTGTATGACACCCTATACTGTCATTAACACCCAATATGCTGTATGACACCCTATACTGTCATTAACACCCAATATGCTGTATGACACCCTATACTGTCAGTAACACCCAATATGCTGTATGACACCCTATACTGTCATTAACACCCAATATGCTGTGCTGTATGACACCCTATACTGTGATTGACACCCAATATGCTGTATGACACCCTATACTGTCAGTAACACCCAATATGCTGTATGACACCCTATACTGTCATTAACACCCAATATGCTGTATGACACCCTATACTGTCATTAACACCCAATATGCTGTATGACACCCTATACTGTCATTAACACCCAATATGCTGTATGACACCCTATACTGTCATTAACACCCAATATGCTGTATGACACCCTATACTGTCATTAACACCCAATATGCTGTATGACACCCTATACTGTGATTGACACCCAATATGCTGTATGACACCCTATACTGTCAGTAACACCCAATATGCTGTATGACACCCTATACTGTGAGTCACACCCAATATACTGTATGACACCCTGTACTGTGAGTGACACCCAATATGCTGTATGACACCCTGTATGACACCCTATGTGAGTGACACCCAATATGCTGTATGACACCCTATACTGTCAGTAACACCCAATATACTGTATGACACCCTATATTGTAAGTAATGCCCAATATACTGTATGACACCCTATACTGTGAGTCACACCCAATATGCTGTATGACACCCTATACTGTGAGTGACACTCAATATGCTGTATGACACCCTATACTGTCAGTAACACCCAATATGCTGTATGACACCTTATACTGTAAGTAACACCCAATATGCTGTATGACACCCTATACTGTCAGTGACACCCAATATGCTGTATGACACCCTATACTGTCAGTGACACCCAATATGCTGTATGACACCCTATACTGTCAGTAACACCCAATATGCTGTATGGCACCCTATACTGTAACACCCAATATGCTGTATGACACCCTTTACTGTAACACCCAATATGCTGTATGACACCCTATACTGTGAGTCACACCCAATATGCTGTATGACACCCTATACTGTAACACCCAATATGCTGTTTGACACCCTATACTGTAACACCCAATATGCTGTATGACACCCTATACTGTAACACCCAATATACTGTATGACACCCTATACTGTAAGTAACACCCAATATGCTGTATGACACCCTATACTGTGAGTGACACCCAATATGCTGTATGACACCCTATACTGTGAGTGACACCCAATATGCTGTGTGACACCCTGTGTTCTCTATGCCATGTATAACACCTAGTGTTCTGAATGACACCCTGTTCTGTGTATGACAACCTGTGTTCTGTGTGACACCCTGTGTTCTGTATGACACCCTATGTTCTGTATGACATCCTGTGTTCTGCATGACACGCTATGTTCTGTATTACACCGTTCTGTATGACACCCTGTGTTCTGTGTGCCACCCAGTGTTCTGTATGACAACCTTCATTCTGTATGACACCCAATGTTCTGTATTACACCTTTTATTCTGTACCACAACCTGTATTCTGTACAACACTCTGTGTTCTGTATAACACCCTGTGTTCAGTATAACACCCTGTGTTCAGTAGACCGCCTCCGTGGTGTAGTGGTTAGAGCCTCCGCCCGGAGCGCGGAAGGTCGCGGGTTCGATCCCCGACCGCGTCATACCAACAAACGATAAAATATGGTACTTGTTGGTCCCTGCCTGGCTCTCGGCATTAATGGGTACATCAAGGACTGGTCGGCTCGGAGTCAGTATAATGTGTCTGAGTGGGGTATTCATGCTTCACTGCGGCATGGTATCTCAGTGGGCTAGCACTATAAAACCAGCTTTCGTCTGGGCTAGTATAAGCAGCCACACATACACATACACACGCATGCACGTCGTCATATGAGCGAAATATTCTCCAGCTCGACGTTAAACCCAATTTCACCTCACCTGTGTTCAGTATGACACCCTGTTCTGTTTTGTATGACACCCTGTGTTCTGTATGACAACCTGTATTTTGTGTAACACCTTTTGTTCTGTATGACACCTTGTTCTGTTCTGTATGATATCCTGTTCTGTTCTGTATGACACACTGTATTCTGTATGACACCCTTATTCTGTGTAACACCTAGTGTTCTGTATAACACCCTGTTCTGTTCTGTATGATATCCTGTTCTGTTCTGTATGACACACTATATATCTGTATGACACCCTGTGTTCTGTATGACACCCTGTATTCTGTGTAACACCTAGTGTTTTGTATAACACCCTGTTCTGTTCTGTTCTGTATGATATCCTGTTCTGTTCTGTATGACACCCTATAATATCTGTGTTGTAATATCTAAGTCACCCTGTATATCTGTATGACACCCTGCATTCTATATGACACCCTGTGTTCTTTGTAACGTTGTGTGTTATGTGATGTAGAGGGAGACGCTTCTGAAGCAGCTGGAGACCAACACACAGGACATGCTGTCCACAGTAGCCGAGCTGGACATCCATGACGACTCAGAGGAGCAGAACTATGACATGTAAGTCGTGTATACCCACACAAGTCAAGACACACAACTCATGTGAGTGAAAACATAACATGTATATGAGTCAGCCCACACTCAAAGTTGCCTACTTATCTAATATTGGTGCTTTTTATACAAAGAGGCTAATGAGTTTGAGTTCAGACAAAGTTAACAAACTGTACCTCACTAAAAATACACTGAAACAAGAAGCTTTTTCTTTCAGAACATTTGTTAATTTGTCTACAGTGAATATAGATGGGCTATTGCATCCATATCACATTCTTGTAAACTGGACACAGCAAGACACATGGAGACAAAGGACCATGTTCAACAAGAACAGACACACAACCAATATTCACCGACATCATACATGTATATCCTGTAAACTTACTGTGACATTATTTAATGTGTATGATGATTTCTCCCAGTTTCCTGGAGAATCTGACCCAGAAGAGAAGGAAACAAGCAGAGCAGCAGGCAGAGAAAGCCTTGTCCGATTCGCATCTAAAGCAAGACGAGTCAGGGGTCATTCGGTCAGCCGATGACCAGTCCATTCCCAACAATACCCCACCCACCTCTACTGGTGAGTTGCATGATAAGGTAGTACAGCCCTTGGTCACTGTTGAAGCTAGAGTTAGATTCCACCATCTACTGTGATGACCTGGGCAGTTTGATCATATACTAAGTTAACCTGACCTTTAACGTTTGATCTTATACTACTACTTTATTACTAGGCCCTGGACAGTTTGATCATATACTACTACTTTATTACTACAGGAGATCTACAGTGAGTGTTTGATTTTTAGAAGTAGATTTAAGGAGAAAATATTTTCCAGAAAGTACGTCAATTCTCAGATCATGAGGTAATCACCATCTCCTTTGGCATATTGATGTGAATTTGATCAATCTTCAGCAACCTTGCTTTCTAGTCTAGCCCTTTAATTCGAATGGAACACATCTATGACTCTCCTTCCCATTTTCTGAGAATTAAACAATGACCTGTTTGTGTGATGTGTGATTCATCAGTGACAACCTTGTTGTTTTGTGAGAGTAAACAGTAGCCTGCATCAGTGACAGCCTTGTTGTTGTTTTGTGAGAGTAAACAGTAGCCTGCATCAGTGACAGCCTTGTTGTTGTTTTGTGAGAGTAAACAGTAGCCCGCATCAGTGACAGCCTTGTTGTTGTTTTGTGAGTTGCCTTCAGTGTTGTTGTTGTTTTGTGACAGTAGCCATCAGTGACAGCCTTGTTGTTGTTTTGTGAGTAAACAGTAGCCTTGTTGTTGTTTTGTGAGAGTAAACATAGCATCAGTGACAGCCTTGTTGTTGTTTTGTGAGAGTAAACAGTAGCCCGCATCAGTGACAGCCTTGTTGTTGTTTTGTGAGAGTAAACAGTAGCCCGCATCAGTGACAGCCTTGTTGTTGTTTTGTGAGAGTAAACAGTAGCCCGCATCAGTGACAGCCTTGTTGTTGTTTTGTGAGAGTAAACAGTAGCCCATCAGTGACAGCCTTGTTGTTGTTTTGTGAGAGTAAACAGTAGCCCGCATCAGTGACAGCCTTGTTGTTGTTTTGTGAGAGTAAAAACAGTAGCCGCATCAGTGCCTGCATCAGCCTTTGTTGTTTTGTTTTGAGAGTAAACAGTAGCCTGCATCAGTGACAGCCTTGTTGTTGTTTTGTGAGAGTAAACAGTAGCCCGCATCAGTGACAGCCTTGTTATTTTGTGAGAGTAAACAGTTTTGTGACAGCCGTGTTATTGTTTTGTGAGAGTAAACAGTAGCCTGCATCAGTGACAGCCTTGTTGTTGTTTGTGAGAGTAAACAGTAGCCTGCATCAGTGACAGCCTTGTTGTTGTTTTGTGAGAGTAAACAGTAGCCTGCATCAGTGACAGCCTTGTTGTTGTTTTGTGAGAGTAAACAGTAGCCCGCATCAGTGACAGCCTTGTTGTTGTTTTGTGAGAGTAAACAGTAGCCCGCATCAGTGCCAGCCTTGTTGTTTTGTGAGAGTAAACAGTAGCCTGCATCAGTGACAGCCTTGTTGTTTTGTGAGAGTAAACAGTAGCCCGCATCAGTGCCAGTTGTTTTGTGAGTGAGTAAACAGTAGCCCGCATCGAAGTGACAGCCTTGTTGTTGTTTTGTGAGAGTAAACAGTAGCCCGCATCAGTGACAGCCTTGTTGTTAGCCCGCATTGACAGCCTTGTGAGAGTAAACAGTAGCCCATCATCAGTGAGAGTAAACAGTAGCCCGCATCAGTGACAGCCTTGTTGTTTTTGTGAGAGTAAACAGTAGCCTGCATCAGTGACAGCCTTGTTGTTGTTTTGAGAGTAAACAGCCTTGTTGTTTTGTGAGAGTAAACAGTAGCCTGCATCAGTGACAGCCGTGTTATTGTTTTGTGAGAGTAAACAGTAGCCCACATCACTGGCCTTTCTACATAGGTTAGAAGCAAGTCCAGGATCAGAGAAACATGTTGTTTAGAAGATGTTGTGTAACATTGTGTCAATACAAAAGACTTGAATACATGAACATTCTTCAAATTGACATGGAATTTAGGGTCAAAGTATTGATCAATGTTAAGTCAAGTGTACCTTATCTTGCTGATGATGCACCAGTGAGTCTGTTAATCATGCCATTGCTGTTACGACATTGATCTTTTCATAAAAGAAACCAACTCTGTGTGGAGGCATCAGTGTATCTCAAATATCAAGATTGTTCTTCCACTGATGGGGGAAATTACTGCAAGACGTCTTACTGTTTTACTGTCTCAAACTCACAACCACTACTGTTATGTTTCCTTGCAGTGCCCAGGTCAGTGTCCCAGCCCTCCATGCCCCGTGTCCCATCAACACCCAAGATACCTGATATCCCACCGACCGTCACCCCTGCCACGTCTGCCAGTTCTACTCCAACCACGCCTGTGGCTTCCCCACCACCGGTGGAACAGAAGCAGGGCTTCATGTCCAGGTTGTTCAAGAAGAAGCCAAAGGAACCGCCTGAAGTTACAGAACCCCCACAAGGTGGGCACCTGGAATTACCTCCCATGTTACTTAGCAACTCTAATTTAATAACTGCCTTCTAAGCCTCTGTCATCTTTTTTAACAGATGTGATCTTACATTACAACTCCATCTTACAAGTCTGTTTCGTGAAGGGGTTGACACAGTCTGAGATATGAAAGAGTTATGATTATCGTAAGTCAGCAGTTATATAGCTACTACTTTCCTTAGTCCATGTTCAGATGTGAGAGAGCATTTGTTTTGTAGAATCTAAGACCTGCAAGCCTGCTGAGTCCCTGGTCAAGAGTGTCGAGGACTTTGTGCCAGATGGTGATGGTCTTGACAGTGCATTCCTTGACGACGCCCGAGACCCGTCCAGCACCGTGAAACAGCAGGCTGAAGGGGATTCTGACAGGTGAGTGTTAATAGTCACGTGCTGATATGAAAACTTCTGATTCCTGCTGTTGTACTGATGGCAGACAAGGATGACTCCCTCCTAATCTGATGCTTGTAAGTCTAACAATGAAGCAGTATTGAATGGAACAGAGCATTTTAAAGGGTGGACTGGAAATGAGCTCCAGACCGTTGCCAATTGCCTCCCTTTGGTTATGGTTATTCATCACATATTCTGTCAGTTTTCTTCAGTTCGTATTTGCGGCAAAATTTATACAATTGAGCATTGGATTAGATTTATACCTCCTAAATGCTACAGGTCTTGGAGAACTACTGTCATTGGATTTTCATTAATCCTTGCACAATTTCCTTGTCACAGACTAGTTGACTAGCATGTATTTTGAAACCACCTTCTCCTGCCTCCCTATCTTCCTCTCTGTCTGTTGTGCGGGTTCGAATCCCCATGGGTACAATGTGAAGCCCATTTCTGGTGTCCCCTGCCGTGATGTTGCTGGAATATTGCTAAAAGCGGCGTAAAACCAAACTCAGTCAGTCAATCCTCTGTCTGTTGTAGCGATGATGATGTCAACAACCCAATGGTGGCAGGTTTCCAGGATGACCTTGACTCCGAAGACGAGCGCCCCATCAGTCAGGCAGAGACATCTGCTGTATCAAGGGTCAAGGACATTGATTTGACCAGCGAGGAGGAGGAGGAACATGTGGACATTCCAGAGTCGCAAGGACCGGTCATTTCCCAGGACTTGGACATATCCAGCGATGAAGCAGCAGTGGTGACAACAAGCTCCACCAAGCCAGCATCAGTCAGAGTAACACCCTCAGTCAAAGTGGCAGCTGTGGACGTGAGTGTGTCAGAGTCGGAGAGTGATGATGGGGGAAGGAAAGACACCCACGGGGATGAATTGGGGGGTAGTAAGGAGAGAGATGGGGTACCGATGTATGGTGACAAGGATGAGCCCAGTAATGGCCAGGGGGGCGCTATGCCGACACCAGCTGCTGACACCAGTATAGAGGATGACGTGGAGGACAGTGCTGGTATCGATGTTCCGGAGGAGGACTTCAGTAACTGGCTGGACCAACTCGAGGAGAAGGTGAGATGTTATACTCTCTTGTCATATAAATAGCAGGGGGACGCAGGTTGCTATTGTGTAAATATGTACTCAGTATTGCTAGACACATGCACTCCTTTAAAGAGGCGTGTTGTATTCTTGTATTCACTTTGGAGCATTGTGTTTTTTCTCTCTCTAGTCCACAACGGTTGTCATGAGAAACAAGTCCTCAAAACCCCGACAGAAGAAGCTGTCCACAGAGAGTGAGGAAGACTATAGAATCAGTAAGTACCTTGTTACAGTCAGAACCACTCTGATATTTCTCCCCCATAATCATTAACCAAGAGCCATCTACATTGTGGATCTATTTTCATTCCCAAACAATAAGAAATACAATGTGGCACTATTGTCCCAAGAAAAAGTAAAATTAACCTCTAAAATTATGACTCGTTTTTACTAGAAACGGTCAGCTCTGATGTGGAGGAAGCAGAAACGAGTGTGGTGAAGAAGAAGAAAAAGAAGAAGAAGTCTGAGGATAAGGTGGGTAGGACTGGTCTCCATTAGTGTGAACCCTTTCCCTGCTTGTAGACATGTACCTGGATGTATCTGACATAAGGATTGGTCCTATACATGAAGTAGTGTGTGATAGGGATTGGTCCTAGACATGAAGTAGTGTGTGATAGGGATTGGTCCTAGACATGAAGTAGTGTGTGAAGTTGGTCCTAGATAGGGATTGGTCCTAGACATGAAGTAGTGTGTGATAGGGATTGGTCCTATACATGAAGTAGTGTGTGATAGGGATTGGTCCTAGACATGAAGTAGTGTGTGATAGGGATTGGTCCTAGACATGAAGTAGTGTGTGATAGGGATTGGTCCTAGATACGAAGTAGTGTGTGATAGGGATTGGTCCCAATATAGACATGAAGTAGTGTGTGATAGGGATTGGTCCTAGACATGTGTGTGATAGGGATTGGTCCTAGACATGCAGTGTGTGATAGGGATTGGTCCTATACATGAAGTAGTGTGTGATAGGGATTGGTCCTATACATGAAGTAGTGTGTGATAGGGATTGGTCCTAGACATGAAGTAGTGTGTGATAGGGATTGGTCCTAGATACATGAAGTAGTGTGTGATAGGGATTGGTCCTAGACATGAAGTAGTGTGTGATAGGGATTGGTCCTATACAGGAAGTAGTGTGTGATAGGGATTGGTCCTTGATACGAATTAGTGTCTGATAGGGATTGGTCCTATACATGAAGTAGTGTGTGATAGGGATTGGTCCTAGATACGAAGTAGTGTGTGATAGGGTTGGTCCTAGATACGAAGTAGTGTGTGATAGGGATTGGTCTTATAATGAAGAAGTGTGTGATAGATATTGGTCCTAGATACGAAGCAGTGTGTGATAGGGATTGGTCCTAGATACGAAGTAGTGTGTGATAGGGATTGGTCCTATACATGAAGAAGTGTGTGATAGGGATTGGTCCTAGACATGAAGCAGTGTGTGATAGGGATTGGTCCTAGATACGAAGTAGTGTGTGATAGGGATTGGTCCTATACATGAAGTAGTGTGTGATAGGGATTGGTCCTATACAGGAAGTAGTGTGTGATAGGGATTGGTCCTAGATACGAATTAGTGTCTGATAGGGATTGGTCCTATACATGAAGTAGTGTGTGATAGGGATTGGTCCTAGATACGAATTAGTGTGTGATAGGGATTGGTCCTATACATGAAGAAGTGTGTGATAGGGATTGGTCCTATAATGAAGTTGTTTGTGATAGGGATTGGTCGTATAATGAAGTAGTGTGTGATAGGGATTGGTCCTATAATGAAGTAGTGTGTGATAGGGATTGGTCCTAGACATGAAGTAGTGTGTGATAGGGATTGGTCCTAGATACATGAAGTAGTGTGTGATAGGGATTGGTCCTAGATACGAAGTAGTGTGTAATAGGGTCCTAGATTTGATGGAGACTGACTCTTGTCCAGATTGTATCAAGAAGTGTCAGTACATGGAAGTCATACCAATGCTTGACTGAATTGTTGCAGGAGGAGGAGAAGTCTCAGAAGAAGACAAAGAAAAAGAAGGAGAAGGATGGAGATGGAGAGAAGAAATCAGTAAAGAAGGACAAAAAGAAGAAGAAGAAGAAAAAAGAAGATGATGATGTGGATGTTGATGACCAGCAAGACAAAGATGACTTGGAAGCATTCCTTGGGGAACCAGAAACAGGCAGGGCGGCAGGGGGGGACTACCAGTCATTATAGCACAGGGTGGGCCTAGTGCAGGAAATCAGAGATGCAAACGTTGGGAAGCAGTGCAGAGCATGTTATCCACAGGAACTGAATATGATACAGGGTTTTCATATCACACGGCAAGTACTATGAGTGTAAAGGACATGGGCAACGATGATGGGTGTTGTGTGTTCTCAGCACAGCTAAGGAGGAAGAATTATGATAGTTTCTGAAACTTGAAGAGTAAAGGCTTGTGACTGGGAGAGACCTTGAAGTTTGTATGACACAAAATAAAAGAATGAGATCAGGTGCAGGTCCAAGTAGCTTGTTACTACACAGTTGCTGACTGAAGCCTGACTAAGGTTTGATTGTTTGTAACCCCTCAACCAGCGATTGAGGCTGGATGGTGTGCAAGTGTTATGTAATGGTTCTGTGGTATGACTACATCAGATTACGGCTGTTTGACATCTGTGTCAGATCGAGAGCTGTTGGTATGTTTGTATGACACTGACCCCATGGTGTGCCAATGTGAGAATGAGATGACATATGCCACTGTAAGTGTCAGAATCTGGTATCTGACAACCAGACTACTTTTATGTATGTGAAGAATTCTGAGCCACACAACTATTGGGGAAAGTCTGCTGAAGTGTTAATGTATTGAATGATCTGTTTTGGGGTCTGCCTTCTGATCTAACTAACTACAACAATTACAGACCGATGTGTCCCACATTGTGTCATGTGTCTACATAGCTTCCTGTTACAGTCCCCGGGCTTCCATTGGTGGCCACTGTAACACTGATGTTGTCATTGCAAGTCTGTGTGTGGGTACAGTCTGTCCTTATGTGGAAACTTCTCAAACTGTCAGCGAAATATAATTCATTCTTCATGTTTGTGCCTGTAACAGTGAGTACATCCTTCACCAAGGCAGCGTTGTAAGGACATGATGAATGTCTGGCGAAGGGTACTCAGATCATCATCATCACAACAGTCAGTCTTCACTCACTCAGAAACCTTCAACCCCCACAACTGGTCAAAGAACTGGTTTAGTGGTGTTTTAGATTCCAGTTTTAGAGAAGTCTTAGTTGTGACAATGTGATTCTGATAATTTTAGGCTGTTGTCATTTTAAGTGCAATATGATATGTATGTGGTGTTTGAAATTGTTTTTGCCATGGACACTTTGTCTCTAAATTGAACGTATAAGAATTAGGTTTCTAAAATTAACCGAACTTCTTTCTCTTTTTATTGCACAGGATGTCACCTCAAACTGAATGTGGCGTTTCCCCAAGTATCAGGTTGTCTCCCCTGATTGTATGGGTTGTCTCCCCACAGTGTATGGGTTGTCTCCCCTCAGTGTATGGGTTGTCTCCCCTCAGTGTATGGGTTGTCTCCCCTCAGTGTATGGGTTGTCTCCCCTCAGTGTGTTGGTTGCCTCCCTTGAGTGTTTGGGTTGTCTCCCTGATTGTATAGATTGCCCCTCCTGGTTGTATGGATTGTCTTCCCTGGTTGTATAGGTTGTCTCCCTGATTGTAGATGTGTCCTCCCCTGAGTATAGGCTGTCTCCCATGATTGTGCGTTAACCGGAGTGTGACCAGAGGGTTTAAGTAGATGTGTTCGTATGCGTTATGCTGTAATTAATCAGGATATATAACACCCTTAGTCAAAAGTGTATTCTGTTTCATTTGTAGCCATGACAACTGGAGTGAGGATAATACAAAGTTTGTGTACAGAAATGAGACAGCGTGAAATTGGGTCCAATAAGACGTTTTTATTGGATCAGTGATTGATAATGGGGAAAAGTGTAGGCGTAGATGTGTAGCAAGAGACACAGCAGGTTTGTAGTGGCTGAGCCAGTGCAGGTAAATTATTCTCAATATGCAGCCAGAACTGAGTTGCCTTGGTTTGATTTATAGCATCAACCACCAGCATTAAAGGAAATATATTTCAGCTGCTTATAACCATGGTTGCCTGACTGATCTAGTAATTCACCTGCAACCCTACTTTTTGTTAAATCTGTAACTAGCTGTCAAGGAACATATTATATTATATACAATTGTTATATTTTATACCTGCCAACAGACCGTTCAAACCTGTTACTTGAAGCTCTGCGAGGGCTGTACTGTTGTCCACCTAAAGAAGCTGCCAGTATGTCCATTTCTGTGTCAACTACTCACCTTCTTATCTTATTTGTAATCATGGAATATCATCAGGTTCAGTGATATGTATGTTTTTGCCTAATTTGAGAACTTAGTTAACATGACAACATAGCCTGCTGTTTATAACTCATCAATGTAACCAGAAGCACCTGGAGAGACAGATCAGTCATCCTCCCAAATGCTTGGTCACATTACAGTGGCCATTTGTGACGAAGAGTCGCAATGACCTGATCGACCTAACCCTGACACCTTGAGGTCTTCCTATCTTGCAGTGAGTCAAGATGTAGTCCAGAATGAATTTGTGTGGATTTGGAAGTTTATTTTTGTGTAGTTTTAGGGTAGTATTTAACCAGTGATTTGGAATATGGAGACCTGTATGTGTGTGATATCTGTACAAAGGATACAATCTAAGACACCACGGTTCTGGGTCAGCAGTAGGTAGCAGCAGATTGTACCAGATTGTATCACAGTTGGTGCTGTCAGGTCATACACTGTTGCCCTTTGGTATTACCAACGTGTACAGGTCGAGGTCCTCATGTCCAGACATCCTGTCGCGGTACTTCATTGTGTAGTGTTGCCTCCCTATGTGCATGCTATAACCCAGTGATCATCTGTTCAGATTCCCAGACATCCTGTCGCGGTACTTCATTGTGTAGTGTTGCCTCCCTATGTGCATGCTATAACCCAGTGATCATCTGTTCAGATTCCCAGACACCCTGACGAGGTACTTCATTGTGTAGTGTTGCCTCCCTATGTGCATGCTATAACCCAGTGATCATCTGTTCAGATTCCCAGACACCCTGTCGCGGTACTTCATTGTGTAGTGTTGCCTCCCTATGTGCATGCTATAACCCAGTGATCATCTGTTCAGATTCCCAGACATCCTGTCGCGGTACTTCATTGTGTAGTGTTGCCTCCCTATGTGCATGCTATAACCCAGTGATCATCTGTTCAGATTCCCAGACATCCTGACACGGTACTTCATTGTGTAGTGTTGCCTCCCTATGTGCATGCTATAACCCAGTGATCATCTGTTCAGATTCCCAGACATACTGGTGATGTTTCTAGGTTTGACATCTTGGCAAACGTCTGATACCTGCTGCAATAATGGCTGACGCCTACATTACATAGTCCTCTGTCAGATAAGTGCAGTACTGCTTAAAGCAACATTAAACAAGACTCAAGTCAACACATCCCTTTGGCCTGTGTGGACACTGGGCATTGTAGAAGCATGAATGTCTGTGTAAAACCTAGTCATTACACCACAGGATGTCAGAATGTTTTGCAGGATTGCCTGGTCCACTGATTGTACAGTTCAAATTCCTGATATACCCTTCTCTGTCAACATCATACTGGAGCTTGCATTTGTCATTAGCATGGTTTGTGAAGGTGTCACTTGAGGCTTTGTATTTTGAATCACAGGAATGTTAAAATCTCACTAGTTATGTTTCACATTGAATGTAAAGGGCATTGTTAATGTAATCCTCAGCATCATCTGGCCACATCAACTGGTACATGTATGCTTACCAGAACCAGCCTGAATATGATGTCTATATGTGACACCTTCACCATCCTGACTCCATCTTCTAGCAGAACCTCTGCTTTCTGTCACCAGATTCTGCTCCATGTAGCAGCCATTAGAGCTGTGACGATATATCGTAGTATCGATAATCGTGATACTTTATCTGACAATAAATATATCGATACGTTTTTTCATATTGTGATATGTATCGTTGACCTTAAAATTGTTAATTTTCATTAGATATTAATGGTTATGTCAAAATTTCTTGCTATTAAGATATATTTTTTAAAGAAAATAACTAAAGAAAGCATATCGCGATATGCATCGAATCAAATCGCATTGTTTCAAGATATCGCGATACGTATCGTATCGTGAAATTTCTGTATCGTCACACCTCTAGAAGCCAGGATTGATGCCCATGTCTATAGGGTGTACTTTGCCAGTCAGCCTAGTGTTGTGGATGTGGTGTATTAACTCTCTCGCCTGGTGTTGTTGCAGTAAACACATGTCTGTTGTAGATGGTCTGAAGGTGGATGATGTCACTGGTGTGTGAGGTTTGTTGACGATTCTGTACTGTATATACTGTTGCCAGGTAACATGTCAGATTGTGAATAAAAGTGTAATATATTTGTCTCAAATAAAATTCCCTGCCAAGATAAAGTTGACTCAGGTTTGTTTCTAAATGCACTGCATCAGTGGTAGAAAGGTGAACATACAAGATCGTAAAACAAACCAAGCATGTGGAACTTGTCAAATACCATCAGTATGATGCACCATGTCAAAATCTAACACAAGCATGTAAAACTTGTCAAAGTCAAACAATGTTTATTGTATTTGAGGCCTCTGGCCCATATACAGTGGAAACCTGATAAGTAAAATTTCAAGGGACTCAACAAAATTGTTTACTTATCAGGTATTTTACTTATCCAAACTTATCAAAACCTGCAAATGACAACCTTATGCATGTATATGTATACAGCAGAATAACAGACAACATTTGTGAGTACAGTTGTCCGTGAATTGTCAACTGCATGATGCCAGCGAGCTGTAAGTAGGATGTTTGTTTAGCTGGAGACTGACAGGTGCCCCTCATGTCGGATTATGTGGTGATTGCTAATTTAGTTTTCCGGTCTCTTTTGTTAAGTAATTTACTTCCAGGGACCACGAGAAGACGTTTAGTTAAGCAGTATTGTTTACTTATCCAAGTTTAGTTAACCAGACTCTAATAGTGATAATTAATGAAGAAATTTGCCGGGACCAAAGAAAGTGTTTACTTATCAGGTCTGTTTAGTTAAGTGGTCTTTACTTAGGAGGTTTCAACTGTACATTGAAATTGGTCTACTCCCGTTTGTGAGAACTCCCAATTGTGAGACTCCCAGTTATGAGACAGTGGAGTAGGTAATTAACAAAGAAAACACACCATACTCCCCTGCCTGATAGAATGGATTAACCCTAGCTACTTACTGATTTGCTATGTAACTGAATCTTTTGGAGGTAACTTAATGAAACTTTTTAAGATAAACTGATTAACATACTCCAGTAAATGTCCTTAAAAAGTAAACACTTTGATAATGATAATAAATGACTTTCAAACTTCACAATAGTCAATAAAAATGTGTTATCATAATTACATATTCTTCTGAATAAATAAAATATTTAATGAACTATATATTTCTTCTTTGTGAATAAAATCTTTGATAATCTATTTCATTAATCAACTCATCAATGGCTGATCCCACTTTCATTGTGGGGATGTGGAAACACCACCTATGTGCACTGAACCATTAATTAATGTGTCTCACAACTAGGAGTTCTCACAAATGGGAGGACACCTTGAAATTACCTGCATTATATACAATCACATACAGCTTGATTACACAGATAATATTATCAGAGTATCAAGCTTAAACATTGCATTATAAATGTATTGTGATAGTTTTAAGTTGATGCAGTTGTCAGTAGTAGACACGAATCGTTTAAATGCCACAGGAGGTGACTTGGAGAGGTAATATGTTGTTTAATAGTTTATGTAAATCTATGCAAGATGGACAGACAAATGTACAATTAATTTCGTTTTCAGTAGATAATTTACACAATGGGCAATTTCTTCTATATCTGTTGATGGAGATACATCTTCCTTCATTAATCATTAAGTTTGATAGGCCTAATCTAAATCGTATTTATTAGTTTTTTAACTTTTTGGATGGTAACTGTGATAGTACTTTTCGGGTTGGAGTAAGGTTTTAAACATTCTATAGGAATCGTATGGTGAGTTATTTTCTAATGCTGAATGCCAATCTTGATCAAATATACTGATAGCTGTTTCTCGAAATTGATAAAACGATAAAGATGCCTATTGCCAGCTGACTGGTTTAGCTATACCAAACCATAACCATGAGAAATAAGAGATTTCTTACATAAGCTGCCCATTTTACTTGACCCAAATCATCGAGATGAACAAGCATATTGTAAGCCTTTTCGGTAGTCTATTTTCATGCAAGCATATATATATTCAACTAGTATTTTATGCATCTAATATAAGAATTGATATACAAGGGATATCTCCCACAGTCTCCATATACCATACATGTCGGTGTTGAGTGCCCCAAACCCAGAAACTTTTTACACGCCATTAGCTTTACTTTTTCGATACTTTCAAAACGCTGGAATCCCCATATCTGATTCATAGAGTAGGATAGGATGTATTTGTGAATCAAATAGGTTAAAAATACCATCAGTATTAAACACAATGTGTGCATCTAAAACTAGCTAGCCTGTGGAACTTATCAAATACCATCAGTATAATATGCAATGTGTGAATCTGAAACACATACGTGGAACTTGAAAAATAGCCAACAGCATAAAGCCATTGAAAGGCATTTAAAGTGATACCCAAAAAGGACCCCCTCCGTCGTGTAGTGGTTACAGCGTCCGCCCGGAGAGCGGAAGGTCGCGGGTTCGATCCCGGCCGCGTCATACCAAAAGACGTTAAAATGTGGTACTTGTTGGTCCCTGCCTGGCGCTCGGCATTTATGGGTAAAACAAGGACTGGTTGGCTCTGAGTCAGTATACTGTGTCTGAGTGGGATATTTATACTTAACTGCGGCATAGTATCTCAGTGGGCTAGCACTGTAAAACCAGCTGGGCTAGTACAAGCAGCCGCACATACACACGCACGCACGTCGTCATATGAGCGAAATATTCTCAAGTACGACGTTAAACCCCATGTCACCTCACCTCACCTGCTTCTTCGAGATGACCTGATTGAACCCAACTGAACATCCATAAGATGAGCCCGATTGCCGTGACGGACAACGGCAACCGCCGCCTGTACAGCTCCCGCATCTCCACCAGCCACTGACGGATGAATGGGCACGAAAACCTCCATGGTGGAATTCAGCGGCTTCTTCAGTCAATGTACCCGTGAAGGTCTATAGAATAGAATATTGATCTTCAGTAACCCATGCTTGTCGTAAGAGGCGACTAATGGGATCGGGTGGTCAGGCTCGCTGACTTGGTTGACACATGTCATCGGTTCCCAATTGCGCAGATCGATGCTCATGCTGTTGATCACTGGATTGTCTGGTCCAGACTCGATTATTTACAAACCGCCGCCATATAACTCACTCACTCACTCACACACACACACTCACACTTACTCGCCAGTCAATGTAAAACTATGATGCAGGCCAATGATTGACCACGTACTGACGACGCCGTATGACGTCTCCGTCATACAAATGTAAATAATAGTAATTGACCTTTAAATAGACCTCCGTTATACATATGTAAAAATAATCTGGTCTAGACCTCCGTCATACAGACGTAAATAATAAGAATTGACCTCCTTTAAATAGATCTCCGTTACACATATTATTATGTAAAAATACCCTGGTATTGACCTCCGTCATATAGATGTAAATAATAGTTACTGACCTCATCTGAATACATGTTTTATGCTTACCGTAGGCCTCCCTAATGAAGATACAATAAACCTACAACAGACCTCCGTCATATAGATGTAAATAATAGTTACTGACCTCATCTGAATACATGTTTTATGCTTACCGTAGGCCTCCCTAATGAAGATACAATAAACCTACAACAGACCTCCGTCATATAGCTTTATGCTTACCGTAGGCCTCCCTAATGAAGATACAATAAACCTACAACAGACCTCCGTCATATAGATGTAAATAATAGTTACTGACCTCATCTGAGTACATGTTTTATGCTTACCGTAGGCCTCCCTAATGAAGATACAATAAACCTACAACAGACCTCCGTTATATAGATGTAAATAATAGTTACTGACCTCATCTGAGTACATGTTTTATGCTTACCGTAGGCCTCCCTAATGAAGATACAATAAACCTACAACAGACCTCCGTCATATAGATGTAAATAATAGTTACTGACCTCATCTGAATACATGTTTTATGCTTACCGTAGGCCTCCCTAATGAAGATACAATAAACCTACAACAGACCTCCGTCATATAGATGTAAATAATAGTTACTGACCTCATCTGAATACATGTTTTATGCTTACCGTAGGCCTCCCTAATGAAGATACAATAAACCTACAACAGACCTCCGTCATATAGATGTAAATAATAGTTACTGACTTCATCTGAATACATGTTTTATGCTTACCGTAGGCCTCCCTAATGAAGATACAATAAACCTACAACAGACCTCCGTCATATAGATGTAAATAATAGTTACTGACCTCATCTGAATACATGTTTTATGCTTACCGTAGGCCTCCCTAATGAAGATACAATAAACCTACAACAGACCTCCGTCATATAGATGTAAATAATAGTTACTGACCTCATCTGAGTACATGTTTTATGCTTACCGTAGGCCTCCCTAATGAAGATGCAATAAACCTACAACAGACCTCCGTCATATAGATGTAAATAATAGTTACTGACCTCATCTGAATACATGTTTTATGCTTACCGTAGGCCTCCCTAATGAAGATACAATAAACCTACAACAGACCTCCGTTATACAGATGTAAAAGTACTCTCTCGGCCTGCGCCATATTGATGCAATAATAACTACTGACCTCATTTACATAGATGTAATAACGCTTCTACACACCTATGTCATGCACGTGTAATGATACTGAGGATCACAAATACGGTAACATTCCGTTGTGAGTGATGTCATTTGACAATAGTATGTTTTCATAAAAGTAATTTCTGAAAACATTAATTGAGAAGACTTTAACAATCAATCGGAAGGCGAGTTCTTGTCTCTAGGTTTTGTATGCTGCGTGTTTACACTGCGTGACTGTTCAAGCACCCTATGCATTGAGTACATGTATATCCGTGTTGACATACCTCAGGCTGACAACCGTCCTGGCCAGACACTTGCTTATACTGAATATAGGGGGAAAACCTTTATTCACTGTGTTTTATTTCCTGTCAAAAGCTTGTTTGTTTTTCATTCTTAGCTGATACGAGTAAATATACCGAAGTATAGGGCTGCTTTCTGTAAGCACTGATCATGGCGATCATCACTAGTCGGCGTTTTGCGAGATGAGTTGTTATTTCCCGTACAGGAGCACAGGAGCATCAGGGTGTTTGCACCAGGTAGAGATGACTAACACTTAAACCACTAGGGAAAGTTATATCCATTGTTCTTGGAAGTGTTTTATTAGCATAACTGAATAACTGCCCTATGGCAATTATTTCTATTTAAAAACAATAAAATTGTACTTATTTTGTATCTTCATCATGCCCAATACATTACGCGCGTATTAAATAAGTATGCCCTCGTGGTGTAAGCCGTTTAATCACCATCACTACTGTAGTTTAAATAAACTCTGCGAGGGCTTTAGCCCGAGCAGAGTTTGTTGAAATAACTACCTTGTAAAGGTGATTAACCTATACTTAGTCTCAGAATATATATAATTTTTATAGTAACAAACAAACACATATAAATTGAAAAGGAAGACCTGAGACCTAAGGAAATCTAGACTTGCTTCATTTAGGGTTTTAGCATTGCAGAGAGGACTAGGCAGTAGGGAATATAGTAGGGTTCAGGACTGTGAGACAAACTACAGAGGACAGGCTCACCCTTTTCCCCAAACACCAGGAGCTATCACTGATGTTCAGTTATTCATTCGTACAATTTTCGTCGCTTGTTTGTTTTTTCGCCTATGTATTGTGTTTCGGTGCAACAACCACTGCTGTTTTCATTCCTTGGCGTTGACGTTGGAACTCAAAATTCCAAGAGTGACTAATGACTGACCCAAACATAGAACCAGTCTTTAATTCACTAAACATTATACACTAATTTTGTTTAACGCCTCACTCAGTAGTCGGTTCCCAATTGCGCAGATTGATGCTCATGCTGTTGATCACTGGATTGTCTGGTCCAGACTCGATTATTTACAGACCACCGTCATATAGCTGGAGTATTGCTGAGTGCGGCGTAAAACTAAACTCACTCATTCAGTAGTAATCCTTGACAGTAAACAATCGCATTTTTGATATAACACACATTAACGATCTATTTTTGAGTGGCATTTAGAAGCTTGTATGATAAACAGGAACGATTGTTATCGATAGACAACTTCTTTATTGCAACAGATGTGACGTTTAGATGTAGATGCATGATACAGCAAAACGTCGCATCCATTACAACAAAGAAGTTGTCTGTCCATAAAAAATCATTCCTGTTTAAACATTAACCAAGTCAACAAACCTGACCACGGTCCCGTATGTGACCTTCTAGGGCAAGCATGGGCTGGCGAAGACCAATTCGAACCCAAATCGTCATAGTAGCGATGTGCCAGATAGGGATACAGCTGACAAGTGTACATATCATACTATATGCATGCTTGATAGACATTGATAATCAGTTCTTATATTAAGACTGACTGACTGACTGAGTTTGGTTTTACGCCGCGTTTAGCAATATTCCAGCAACATCACGGCGGGGGACACCAGAAATGGGATTCTCACATTGTGCCTATGTGGGTATTCGAACCCGGGTCTTCGGCGTGACGAGCCAACGCTTTTAACCATTAGGCTACCCCACCGCCCCTCTTACATTAAGAAGAGGCAGTATGAAAGTCATATTATTTGGGATGACATGTCGCCGTGTTGTCGTGGGTGACATGATTGTAATGCCTTATGACCATTATAAAAACAATTCAGTTCATTTACCACTGATTGTATACACCAATGTCATTTATTTTACCGTCAACAATCATCTGAGTCCGTCGTAACATTACACGCTACCATGGATACAGCTAATGCCGTACAGAAGAAGAATATCAGTCCAAGACGTCTTCACTTGTATTACTTTCAAGCTTGACTTAGCTGTTCCATATCGTGTGCATGGAGATATCTCATGTTTACCTAGGGTCTCCCGAGGCCAGAGTTGAGACTATTGGGCATGCTAGAAATCTGTAACAGTGGGTTCAAATCCTAAATTATTATGGATTAGGTTTCTAGGTTTGACTTTTGAGTTTTGTTTGTTGTTTAACGCTGCAGTCTTAAATATTCCAGTTAATTGAGTGCGATCTGTAAATCATTGAGTCTGTGCCAGACTGATTGACATCACAAGCCTCGGTCTATGCACTTGGGATACAATGACATGTGTCAACCAGGTCAGTGAGCCAGTCTTCATGTGTAGACAAGCATGGGTTGGTGATGACCACGTCTAACCCGGATCTTCATGTATAGACAAGCATGGGTTGGTGATGACCACTTCTATCCCGGATCTTCCTGTGTAGACAAACATGGGTTGGTGATGACCACTTCTAACCGGATCTTCATGTGTAGACAAGCATGGGTTGGTGATGACCACTTCTAACCGGATCTTCCTGTGTAGACAAGCATGGGTTAGTGATGACCACTTCTAACCCGGATCTTCAGGTGTAGACAAGCATGGGTTGGTGATGACCACTTCTAACCCGGATCTTCAGGTGTAGACAAGCATGGGTTGGTGATGACCACTTTTAACCCGGATCTTCACGTGTAGACAAGCATGGGTTGGTGATGACCACTTCTATCCCGGATCTTCATGTGTAGACAAGCATGGGTTGGTGATGACCACTTCTAACCGGATCTTCATGTGTAGACAAGCATTGGTTGGTGATGACCACTTCTAACCGGATCTTCACGTGTAGACAAGCATGGGTTGGTGATGACCACTTCTAACCGGATCTTCACGTGTAGACAAGCATGGGTTGGTGATGACCACTTCTAACCGGATCTTCACGTGTAGACAAGCATGGGTTGGTGATGACCACTTCTAACCCGGATCTTCACGTGTAGACAAACATGGGTTGGTGATGACCACTTCTAACCGGATCTTCACGTGTAGACAAACATGGGTTGGTGATGACCACTTCTATCCCGGAACTTCACAACTCTTCGGTTTGTCACACCCGTGACCGCGGTGTTCACCATGGTGGCTAAACATAACGGAACCGAAATATTGTTCAAAACAACATGTTTAAACTGATGAAAACTATCACCACTAACGCCTACACTCGTCTAGACACGTTTTCTTGAGTCTAATGTAAGTATCCTTTCTAGCGAATACTCTAGACTCTGTGATTCCATGGCGAACCAGTTTCGAATGACATCTTGTGATCTTCTCGTCATATACATTTACAGTCCAACTGTTAAACCTCAAGCCTATCCATGTCACAATGGTGTCTTCACACGAAGCAGACCTTTAGGTTTGAAACTATGCACATGAAGCAGACCTTGTTTGTCCTTTGATATTCACCGATCTGGTCTTGCAACTGATTGGTGTTTGTTTAGTGGCTTAAAGATGAGATTTCTTGATTGACTAATTAACTTAGTGAATACTGATCAATCAGTTATCACAACTTCTGTCTTCATGGACCAAGCAGATTCTGCTTCCTTTAGCCTTAAGTTGTGCTAGCTTCCATCTATTTGAATTGTACAGAGTTGTAAATATGTAAATAAGTGTATAAAAACATATATCTGATTTCATTTTGTATGTACCAGTCTATAAGCTCGTTAAACCGATAGACCTAACGAGCTGATCACTCAGGCATATAATCCGGATTATCCGGATTAGCTGAGAAGAAACAACATAAATAAAACTGGCTTAAGACTACTGGTCAAATGCGGGGTGGGGTCTTCCCACTTGTCCGGCACCTATTGTTTAAAGGTTCTGGATCAGTGGAGCGCGATAATCCCTGAGAACAAAAGGTGAACTTCTTATTTTGCTCCCCTGTCGGTCTGTGATATTTGGTCACCCAAGCAGGTCAGAGAATATTTGGTATGCGGGGTATTCGCGTTAAGGCGACTTTTTAGTTTCAGATATTCGCGTTAAGGCGACTGGCGGTAGTCTTTGATGTTGTTTTAGTAATGTTTGTTTAAGGGATTAACGAAAAGATTATCGACTAACCTAGTCGAAATTGCAATGGTGAACACATTTTAAATCATCAATGTTTTTGGTGAAAAGTGAATTTTTTTCACGTTTAGTTTTATAAGTACATCCATGTTCTACTGTATGTGTCATCGTGAGCTTAATTATCTATGATAGCAAGGCAATTAAAGGTTCTTATAAGTGGGTCTGTTTCGAAGTTTACCATCACTATCATCATGGTGAATGCACAACTCAAGTACAAATATCTTCCCACTTGTAGAGGTGGCAGATATCTCTGTGTTGGAAATTATATGTATCTTATTAGTAAGCGAAAAGCAAATGATGTCGATTATTGGAGCCCATCCGAATATTTTCGAACTGATGCAATTCCTGATGAAGGAACATAAGACAACAGCAGTGCATATGGTTCAATACACCGCTGGACAACGCCTCCCTCCTAAAATAAAGTATATTTACCTTCTCGTTTGCGTCTTCATAAATGACACCATTGTGATGCAGAGGGGGGAAAGTGTCTTTGTTGTTATTACTTCTTTTTTCAGGTAATTGGTAACTAAGTTCCACCACAATTTTGAATGTTTACGGTTTTTTAATTTATCATCAAGTTTAGAATAATAATCTCATTTAGCTTTTCTTTTGATTTCTACGTTTGGCTATTTTGTCATCCATATATCGTTATCCATTCTGACCCAACTTCTAAATGCCTCTCAAAGAAGAAATTGACAGAAGCATTGAGATAAATCTCTGAATCTTGAAATCACAACGAAGACTCGACACTGAGCGAGTTTAAGCATCTTAGAAGGTATCTACCATTATGACAAACACAATTCAGAATGTTTTACCCATATAACTGCACCTTGGGACCACAAGGTATCATCTGCGGGTATCATCTGCGGGTATCATCTGCGGGTATCATCTGCGGGTACCATGGCGGACTCGGACGCCAGCTCGAAAACCGCACGGTCCCGCGGAAAACCAAACAACCCACCCCACCCCACCCCCTCAAACAAAGCCCGAATATTACCTAGCGATGTTGACTCTAACCGAAGAGGGGGGCCCCTGCAGAACGTACTCGGGAGTTATCCAATGGAACTGCCTTAAACAATCTCATACCTGCCGTCATACTAAAACTCATACCTGCCGTCATATTTAAACTCATACCTGCCATCATATCAATACTAAAGAATGAAATGTTCGTGAAGTTAGAGGTTAATGTCTCGAGCACCGTCTTGAATGCAACACCTGCACTACAAATCTCGAGATTAGTCCGTGTATGCACTCAGACAGGAAATTAAGTTTCTTAATTGTTCATATAAGTGCACAATGTCTTTACTCATGTACCCAGGTTTCATATTCAATCAGTTGCTATGTTACGTCACGCATGTTGTTAAGGAAACAATGGCTGTACCTGCAGTTTCACACAAAATATCAATGTTCTCCACAATGCAGGAGTGAGTGAGTGAGTTTAGTTTTACGCCGCACTCAGCAATATTCCAGCTATATGGTGGCGGTCTGTAAATAATCGAGCCTAGACCAGACAATCCAGTGATCAACAGCATGAGCATCGATGTGCGCAATTGGGAACCGATGACATGTGTCAACCAAGTCAGCGAAACTGACCACCCGATCCCGTTAGTCGCCTCTTACGACAAGATAGTCGCCTTTTTATGGCAAGCACATGGGTTGCTGAAGACCTATTCTACCCCGGATCTTCACGGGTCCCACAATGCAGGAAAAGTACCAGCACAGCTACTGTTAGTGCTTTCTGTGATGTTGCTGGTGTACCCAGCCGTGATGTTGCTGGAATATTGCTAAAACGGCGTAAAACCATACTTTGATGTTGCTAATTTTAGATCATGAATGATACAATGTTATACAGGTTTGTTTCATAGAAATTTCAGTCCAACTTACAGTAAAAACCGAACATTGTATGCATGTCCTTACCTTATGTGTGTGTTTGGGGCAGTCCGGGGTACTGGGGTATTCAACACGTCGCTTGAAGATGCATGTCGTCAACAATCACGTGTCAGCAGTCAACAACAGAACCCGACACATGTTGTATATATGCTATCTGATAGCACTATAATTACGTACGCGTCGCCGATATAACTAAATTTGCGGCTATATAACTACCGGTATACGTCCCCAATTCGTCAAACACAGTACAGTTATCCCCATTCTAATTCAACTCGTTTTACGCTGTTTTTTCGTGAAAGAAATTCATTATTTAAACCAGGTCAAAGTTCCTCTAGGTCAAAGGTTAATCATATCACTCCTTCAACTTACACCATCGCCAGAGAAAGTAGTTCCCTTTTCAAACTACACACGTTTATTATGTGCATACAGACTAAGTTTGATAATGATGAATAGATCATAGTATTTTAGATAAAAGGACGGTATTATGATGAAACCACCCTCTAGTTACAGAAATGAGCGGCCCGCTGATTCCTTAACTACGGGCCATTACCAGTTCTGTTGTCAAATGACGTCAAATGACGTTCTACAGAACGGCTTTGCTCGTCTCATCACGGGTTCCAGGAAGCACTGTGAAATCATACAAATCCTGCGTGTGGTACATTGGCTTCCTGTACAGCAACGAGTCACCTATAAGCTGCTTTCTCTGACATATTCAGTCCTGAATGATCCCACTGCCCCTGCGTATCTAAGACGCCTCATTTCGTACAAAACTTCAAATAGAACTTTTCGATCCAACAGTGCTTTGAATGATCTTGCCATCCCCAGAACCACTAATAAAATGGGGAAAGGTGTTTTCCAGTTGCCGCCCAAGTGTTGTAGAATGAACTCCCAGCTGAACTGAAAATTGCAAAATTATATCAAGGGATTCATTCCAGAAAAAAAACTTAAAACACATCTTTTCAGACAGTATTTTAGCTTTGAATCCTCGCTGATATTGCTGGAATATTGCTAAAGCTGCGTTAAACCATACTCCCTCCCTCCCTCCCTCCCTCCCTCCCTCACTAACCTTGTATAACCTCTGCTAGATTTGTGTGTTCACGTGGTTTCCAACAGGGGTGTGTATTAAAGGGGCACTGATCCGTGGCTTAAAACCCCGCAGTAGATCACGGCCACCCGTTAACCATGGCTGACTGCACTTGTAACCTAACCACAAGCAGCGGACGCATTGAAGTGTCCACCTGCCACCCAGATCTCATCCATCCGTATAACAAGTAAAGTTTTTGTTTGGAGTAATGTTTCTGCTGTTTTAAGGAAACGGAATTGGAATTTTAGAGTGCACGTTAAATGTTTTGATCTTGGTCTCCAACATTTTAATAACATACATGTTAACTATCATATTCCCTTTGTCGTTTCGGAAGTGACACGTAAATTATTTGATCGTTTTAACTCTTCTTGGAAAAATTCTATTTCAAATGTAAATGGTACAACGAGCAATGGAGGTAATAAGTTAAGAACATATGCTATCTTTAAGGATGAATATCATCCTGAATTTTATTTATTTAGCCACATGCCTCGCTCTTATAGACGTGCTTTAGCACTTTTTAGATGTGGTATTGCTCCTCCAAGAGTTGAAACTTGACGTTATAATTGTGCTCCTCTAAAGGAAAGAACATGTTTTTACTGTAATGATTTTATTGAAGATGAATTCCTCCATACATGAATCTATATTATTATCAGAAACCATTGCCTCAAAGTCTTCATAGCTCGTATCATTCATTCTAAAGCGAGGCTTTCGTACCATCGGTATGTCATTATGGGCATTTTCACATTGCTGGGTAGGTAAGATATTAGTGAAAGTACATACAAGTGGTAGGCGATTTGACTCGGTTCCGGTGAGGACTGACATATCCACCACATTAGGAAATAAACAAGAACTGATAACAAAGTAGTCTACTATACTTGTACCACTGTTGGAAATAAATGTCCAGTTAGCAGGGGTGTCACTGGTAGTACGTCCATTGACAATATGCATGTTCATGGTTTAGCAAAGGGTGAGTATCTCAAGACCATGCTTATTCACAACTGTATCACAGGAAAGTCTCGGTTTGACGTAGGAGTCTTCAGTATACAAGTCATTATCTACAGGTATGTAATTGGCATTATCATCAAAAATAAAATCATCGTCAGTTGCTGTTCTCGCAGTAAAATCTCCACATATAATGAAAGTTGAATTCACACCAAATTCTGTTTTTAGTTGGTGAAGGTTGTTCTCCAGCAAGTCGATCCCACTATCGTCCAGACCGTCGTATTCCGACGCCCCCGCCGGGTGTACGTACGTACATATATAGAAGGTAGGATAAGGGAAATCAATATTAACTAATTGAAGGACAACATAGTTGTCCCATGTATCTTTAATCCTAGAAAAATATATCTTGAACCGATCTCTAACACATACAACGACACCACCGGAATATCTGCCACGGTTGTGGCGGCGATCTGTTTCGCTTGCAAAGCAGAAATAGTTAGACAGTGATGTGCTAAGCTGGTTGGCTTCGTCTGATGCCTATGGCCTCTTGCAATCGTATGGGAAGCCACCAAAGCCCTATCTGTCAACAACAACAACTGGCGGCAAAGAAAATTGCAAGAGGCCACAGACATCAGTAGAAGCCAACCAGCAATCAATCGTGACCAGGGAACATATATGCCTAGCGCTTGGGACTTATTAATTTAAGTAACCATCACTGCTGGTCTCTTTGTCCTTGTATTTATTACTATTAGGCCTGGCTTCCATTTGTGTTCTTACCACCCTGTTATATGCCACTATTGTTACCTCATCAACTACGCCTGGATTAACAGCTGTGAGCGGTGACATGGGTTGGACTCCCCCTATCGTAAGCCAGTGGGGCAGTGTTGTCAGATTTTATAAACGTCTTTGTAACCTGGATCAATATCGACTAACGAGCAAAATCTTTCTTTGGGGTAACCACTGGGCTTTTAGAAGAAAAAGAAACCTTAATTTTAAAATTCATAAAAAGTTAGCCAATGTTGATCTTGATCACTTTATTTCCCCCACTAATATTTTTAACTCAAGGTTTATTGTACAAAGCGTTATACAGAAATTATTTGATACTTATAGACAGGAGTGAAGGAATCGGTAGGGAATACCTGTGGTCCATCTAAACAGGGGGCAAATAAGCTACGCTTTTATGGTACTTTTAAGGATGTTTATACGCCGGAATTTTACGTAACTCATCCCATGCCCCGCCCATACAGAAGTGCATATGCTAAGTTCAGATGCGGCACTGCACCAATTAATATTGAGCTGGGTAGATATAACAATATTCCACTTAACGACAGAAAATGTTTTTATTGTAAACACTGTGTTGAAGACGAAGTTCATGTTTTCATTAATTGTCCGGTTTATAGTGATGAACGTTTTAGTCTTTTAAATACATGTACTTGTGATAGCCTATGTCAGAATTTTATTAATCTTACTGATATACAAAAAACTGCTTTTATCCTGTCCAATAGCAATATCTGTTTTATAGCTGCCAAAACCTGCCATGTTATTTTAAAAAGGAGAAAATCCGTATTATATAACTTTTAATTATTGTTATTCATAATACATGTACATGCAATTTTTAAAGAATTTTAGTCTCTCATAATTCCGTATGGAATGGCCCTTATGTAAATATATGGTTAATTAGTTTGTATATATGTATAACAGGGGTGAGACTTTAATAAATAATCTGTCTGTCTGTCTGTCTGCTTTTGTCCATCCACCCAGTTAGTGCTAATTATACAGTACAGTATCAGCGTTTTCTAGTTTAAGGGTATCGCGAAGAAACTCTCTCACTTTGGCTTTACTATTCTCCCACAATTCACCCCTTTTTTCAGTGAGTCCATGAAATATCAGATTTGATCTACGTGACTGTGTCTCAATGTTGTCAGTTTAAGTTTCTAAATCAAACAGTTTCTGTTTCAAATCCTCATTTTCTGCCTTTAAGTGAACTAATTTATCTTTAAAGTCCTTAGAAAATCTATAAACTTTAAGTTCATAGATGATATCTCATCCTGAATCGTTTTCAACGTCTTTGCAATGACAGCCATACTAATCAGGTCGGACTGTGCGTGTTCACTCCCACCCGGTATACATTCGCCCGCCACGTTTTTTGTTGACAATCTTGTTTGAACTCCGTTCTTACTGGAGTCACTATTATAGTACTGTTATAGTGACTAATTTAGGACAGCCATCGTGCAAATATTTAATAAGTCAAAAACTATGTACTCAAGACATGTGAGACTTTATTGTAATATATAAATGACGCTAAGCTGTATTTTTAATCACTACTGTACATCCCTATCACTACCGCATTGTAAATTGATTTGTCAGCCCATTAATTATTGTATAAGACATTTATAACCTCCATTGGTAATCCCCCTTGGCCGTGTCTGCCATCACATCAACTGGTGTCAAGGAAGTACTATTGTTTTTCTGTCTGTCCATTGATGAGTCGTCGCCTGACCATTGTTGTCAAAAACTGTATATATATATACTAGGTATGCTCACATCTAGACAGCGAAGGAGTACGAGTCCGGTATTTGGACTGTCTGTTGGGACGACCACGAGCAGGATAATGCCGCTCGTTGGAAACGCCCTGTGGTTGAGCAGGTACTCCGCTCTCCCACATGTATGTCTTGTGCATTTGTTTGTCATGTACTAAAGAAGTTTGAACTCAACTATGCCTTCGTCTTCATCAACGCACACTTCATCTTAAAATATGAGCTAATTCCCCAGTCGACGCGTACACCACGCGTTGACAGTACCGAGCACCTGATCTGGGTCCAGGATTGCTTTAAGCGTCACCCGACACGACAATAAGCATAAACGAGTACACAAACAATCTCGCACCCATCTTTATACCCATATTTATAGCGTTATAACGGGGGCCCTCCAGTCACGTTTTGTCAATCTTTGACAAAACGTTCCAATTTTGGCCCTCCAAATATCAGTTGAAACTCCCATGGTACTCACTCATATATCAGACACGTCCTGACACCAAATATGTGGTAGTATGTACCCTATTTCCTGACTTAAATCAAATCACACACAGCTGTCAACACTGCTAGTCACGTGACCAGCGAACTATAACACTGCGATGTGTTTTGGGGGTACGTGGCTCTTTCTGGGTTACAGGACATACCCGACAGCTTCTACTTGCGAGGAGGACAAACACTTAAGTCGGAATAGTTAGATTCACTTTTACTTCCGTGTGAAAGACAGCATGTCACGCAAGAGGCAGATGTGTAAGTATATGTACCTTCATGGGCAGATCCAGGACTTGGGAGAAGGTGTGTGTGTGGAGGGTGTGTGTGTGTATGTGTGTGTATGAATGGGAGGGATGCACATAATAGTACATCATGACGTTCAAAGGTTACCGGGTAGGTGGGAATGAACTTTGTGTAGGCTGGAGGGTGGGCCATGTCACGGCGGCTACCTTGTACCTGTGCCAGTTCAGGGTCCCCTACTTCGGCTTAAGGTGAGGTGAGGTGAAATTGGGTTTAACGTTGTGCTTGAGAATATTTCGCTCATATGACGACTTGCATGCGCGTGTATGTGTATGTGCGGCTGCGTGAACTAGCCCAGGCTGAAGCTGGTTTTATAGTGCTAGCTCACTGAGATACCATGCCGCAGTGAAGCATGAATACGCCACTCAGACACATTGTACTGACTCCGAGCCGACCAGCCCTTGTTGTACCCATTAATGTCGAGCGCCAGGCAGAGACCAACAAGTACCATATTTTAACGTCTTTTGGTATGACGCGGTCGGGGATCGAACCCGCGACCTTCCGCTCTCCGGGCGAACGCTCTAACCACTACACCACGGAGGCGGCCACTTCGGCTTAAGAGCATTGTATACAGTTACGTAAATTTCACAGATAGTACTGTATATCAATGGCAACACCGTAGTTAATAATATATAGCAATGTGAAAAGCACAGACATTATTGTGTAACTACTTCAAAAGCGTGGTTTACATACTCTTCCAAAAAAGTAGGGGAACTTCATATTTAATTGGGAGAAATAATTGGGAGATATATCTGAGTGAATCAATGTTGATATGATAATGATGAATGTTTTGAGAATGCATCACTACTTGCACTTCCTTATGACCATAGTTGTTTGTACAGTAATAGCTCTTGAAATATGATTGGTGAATGACGTGAAATTTGCATGTGTACGATTTTCATTTTAAAACAACCCGGCTAGAAACAAACACCAACAACTATGTGATGCAAGATGATTGCCAAAATTAATGATCTACGGTGATTTATCGACATTCTTGAAAACCGTCAAAATTAAGAATGACACCCCATGCACGTGTATGGGGCTACTGCGTTGTGCAAGTTCATCCCATGCGTTGTGTTTAGGGGTGGTGATAAAGAGAAATGGTGGTGCCTGTTCATAAGATGTCTGTCTTTGAAAAGTTTGTTAACGCTTATACTTCCTATCCAAATTGAAAGGTCAGGTTCCCCTACTTTGTTATAAGAGAATAGTACATGTATACAGTTATGTAAATTTCACAGCTATCACTGTGTAACTATGGCAACACCGTCGTTAATAGTTTATATAGATATGTGAAAAGCACAGATATTACTGTCACTCCTCTTTTGTACTGGATTCCCAAACTACATAAATTCCGTACAAGGAGACGTATATTTGCTGGTGCCACCCAATCCCTGTCTCAAAGATTAACCACAATCCTCAATACTATCAAGGGATGACTTTCTCGATATTCACAGAAAGTGTTTGAGACAAACGGAATCAATACAATGTGGATTCTCAAAACCTCAAAGGATTTGCTTACATTTTACAATGGACAGAGGTCCGTTCTGTCAGCATTTGATTTTGCAACATTGTATACCACTATCCCACATGGCAAACTTAAGGAAAAACTTCCTTCCTTGATCCATAGGGCATTTGTAAACGACCGTGGTGAACAGAGATCTATTGGTCTAGAAGCCAGACCCCTGAAATGGTGAAAATGTGGTGCAGTTCTGGCGACCAAACGGGATGTGATTTTTCACAATTTGATTTGAAGCTGGTTGTCATCGGCTACCATGCGTGTCCACAGTGCAGGGGCCCTTTTAAGGTGCAACATGTCATGTCAGTTATTGCAATATTTTAACCGATAACTGGATTGTTAAATTTAATAACTTTGGTTTGGTTTGACCGATTTTCATCAAAATAGTAGTTTTGGAATGCTCAGATCATGACTTAAAATGTGGACAATAATATTACATATATGCTCATCGCCAAAATATTTTGGTAAGGCCAAAGGTCAATTTTAATAGAAAGGGCATTTGATGAGAAAATATGAGTTGAACTTTACAAATTAAATGTATTTTTTCAAAAATTATGTTTTCTGATTCAGCTTTATCATTTGAAGATCATATATACCGTTGGTTGGCACTGTGTTTATGAAAAACCATTGCAAGGAAACCAAGGTTGGTACTTTGTATTTAGATCAGCAAAATATTATATATTTATATCTACCTGCTTTAAAAAGTATCAACAATACTAAATAGGTCGAAGATAGTGTTGAACTATTATACAAATTTGCGTTTATTGACATTCTAGCAGAAACAACAATTCAGCTGATGTCAGAAGGAGATATGTTTTGGTAAGTGTCAGTATCGCACTGACATGCCGTGATACCCTTCAAGCTGATCGTCATATGAGCGAAATATTCTCAAGCACGACTTAAAACCCAATTTCACCTCACCTCACCTTAACGCTGATGGATAATAATATGACATCCTAATGGAAGGTTTACAATTGACATTATGGTGTGTCAATTGTCTGTTTACAATGTGAAATATTACGACTTTGGTTTTCTTGATGCATTTTTACACCGGCAATCATTAATACATTGTAAAAGATATGACACACATATCAGAAAGGCGTTGTGGTATCTTACCACCAAATATACACACCCCTTATTTACCCCTGAAATACACAGTATTTCCAATACATTCCTATTCTTTTCTAAGTTTACTTGGGTTCAAAATATGAATATTTCCTTAGGTGGGGAAACAATTGTAAATGTGTAAATTTTTCAAATGTTTTCATGGCTTGAAACCTTGTGCATCATTCCGGATATCAAGGGTATGTATTTGAACTCTTTTTATATATGCTCAGTTAACAGTACTAAAACAGAATGGTCATAAAAAATGGGTTCACATTGTGTTATTCACATATGCTGAAGCCTTTGAAATCAAGGCTCATACCTAGGGCCTGGCGAAGCAAAACATTGTTGTGCAAGCAGACAGGTTTCCATCAGGTCACCAGGGTTTATCCTCAATGTGCAGGCGGTTTATCGTCACACGTTTATTACTCAAAATATTTATATTTTCCGCAGCTAAACAGAGAGCATTAGTGACATGTTAAATGCTGTCATCAATTTTTGTGAATGCGTTATAACCTGATTTATCAAGTAATGATTGAACATGATCGGAAAACAGAATAAATTCTAATAATTCAAAACTCTAAATTGTTCTCAGCTTTTTGTTATCATTTTCCCAGAAAAATGTACTATATGTAAGCATTATTTGGATTTGAGTCACAAATATACCCTTGTCAGAATATCTAACATGATCTGTCTTTACTGATAGTCAATTATTGGTAAATGGTCTGACTGCTTTTCGATAACGAGATTGTATACTAAAAGCACCAACAAGGTCAAATAATATTGTTATGATGATATTAATGTTAATAATGCTGTAATTAGGCGATTGGAGCGGAACAATAATACCATTATTGCCTATGTATTATGTCATCAATGCCTGGTTATTTATTTTGTGAGTTTTAAGCATGTGTCTCAAAATCCCAACAAAGTTATCAGTATCATTATCTGTAAGTTCTAGACCGCTGCCACATCGCCCGTTCATAATATGGATATTCTAGGTAGAGAAGTGTTTAGAGTTCTTCAGTTTAAGCGAAAACGTTTTAGGATTTAATAAGTCAGTTAAAAGGTCCCAATAGGATTGCTTTTGATTTTCTGTGTATTCTAATAAATCATCCTCTACAAAGTCCGGGCACATTATATCGCACGAGATTGTTTCGTCTGCTACGTTGCTCTTGATCCTCGAATTTAGTGTCTAATTCTTCCAAATACTTCTCGATACCCACTGTCCTGTCATTCAAAGCCTCAATATCTAGTTTCATCACATCCTGCTCTTGTTTACTACTGTTTATGTCTTCTCTGAGCTCGTGGATGTCAGATTTAATGTCTCTAATGTCATCTTTTATAGATCTTATATTCCTAGATAATCTATCCTCACTCGCCTTTATCTGTTTCACAATGTCCCTCCTCATCCCCTCTAGACCATCAATAGGACCGGGATTGAGTTCTATATCTCCTGACAGATGTAACGTTGAAGGAATCAGTCTCTTTACAGGGAGAGTTGCAGTTATCATATGTTTATAGCACAAAACACTGGTCAGTCTTGAGCTATCTGTGACGTCACTATTGTCGCACAAATGTAAACAAACATTTTCCCCAGTCAGTAGATCAAACTCAAGAGGCTCAGTATCAGCACAAACTTCCACATATAGCACAAGGGAAAAGGACAAGATGAGATGTATAGAGAATAGCACAGCACAGAGAGTCAGTCTGCCGGGTACATCTGAGCTGGCGGTGTACGGGGTGTAGGTGTCACAATGGCCGACCTGTCGGCTACCCCTCGGGGGTGTAAAGAACCCGATCCTCGCTCTATAGAGCGTTAGGTCTATCATAATTAGTTTATATAGATGATCTAGTCCCCTATAAAGTAGTATTGACAGTTATTTGTCAAATTTCACGAGGCAGTTTGATAATGACCTTAATTTTCTCAGCTGCTGTTTTGCGTGACAGTGTTGATAGGGGCGTGCAACTCTCTCTATCAAATTATGAATCATAAACACATTATCTGTTGTAGAGAAGCCTTTTCGGAAACCGGATTGGGCATGCGATATTATATCATAATCATTACAAAATTTATTTAACCTCTCGTTTAGGATGCTAGTAAAAAGTTTACCAAAGCAACTTAAGATAGAGATTGGTCTGTATGAAGCCGGGTCCATACGATTTCCAGTTTTCTTATAGATAGGTTTAATAGTACCAGTAAGCCATGCTTCGGGCAAAATTCCAGTCTGAAGTACAGCGTTAAAATATTCAACATAAAAGGTAGCAGTTTTGGTAAGGCTGAAGATAAGTGCTCATTTGAAATCAAGTCTAAGCCAGGCGTCTTGTTTGTCTTCACTTT